GATTATAAATTTGCAATCATCATCGTTTCAGCGAGTTCAGTGTGGTTGACTTGTAATTGGTGCTGGCTGGCTTGGTAACAAATAATCAAAGGATACATTTACATGTACGGTGAATTATTAATGGATTCTTAACCCCACATTTGATAAACGACGGTGCAGATTGAAATTATCTTAAATGACATTATAAATATTAGGCAATGTTAGTAGATATTGATTTAATGATAAATTCAGTGACCTAAATATTATTTTGCAATAAAAACTGTTATTATTTCGTTCCAAAGGTTAATACTAATGATTTTGAGTTCATATTGAATGATGACAAAAATGTATTGTGTAATATGTGTTGTACGTGTAACAGGTAATAACATCTCGATACAAACCTTTCAACCCTAAGGACGGACCCGATAAATGATAGCTGGTGTTTGAGTTCTGTGAAGAAATTAAACCCAAGATTGTAAAATATGTCACTTAAGGATCCCTGCCCCACTAACTACACTGTTGTTTTTCGTATATACAGTAACCTCCCCTTAATTTTGCTTTGAATATAACTGTAGCAGAGTTAGGGCAGAACACCTCCAAAGCTCATCTGGTTGGGTCGACAGTATAGCAGTCAGAGATCCAGGCTTCAAATCCTGGTACAAGCCCGCTATATATAATTTGTTTTCACTCAGAACATTGTTAATAAATATATTTCATCATTTTATTGGTACTCTTCATAAACATCCTGCTAGGTATGGTTTTCTTTCCAAAAAAGATATATCAAAGTTATAGTAATGCCAGAAAAAAATTCCAATTGTATAGCTACATTTTTTAGATTCACTTCCCTGATCTAGAACTTAAAATGTTACTGACTAAATACTTTACAATTTCCGAGTTGACAGCTAGAGAGTGAATTGTCTGTTGTGTCGATACAAAACATTCCAATATTTACACTTCATACCGGTATTTGTTGAAGTACAGAGGATGTATATTTAAGATATTGCTAACAGTCTTAAAATTTATTGAAAGGTCCACTGTTGACAGATATTTTGATGACAGACTCGCTGACAAAATTTCATTTTGATAAAAGACTCGCCATCAGACTTCAGTTTTAATGATAGTTTCATGTAGATGTTGATTATAGAATCACTTACAGACATACACTTTAATGACAAGTAAGCTCACTGAAATGTACACTGGGATGTTTATTACAGATTTGCTGACAGTTCTGTATTGCATTTCAACAATAGAGTAAAATGTCAATTTCAATGACAGATTTGATACAGGATTCCAACCATGGACCACCAATCCTTATATACTGTGCTTTAACTAACCGCGTCACTGGGTCAACCCCTGGCCCAGGTATTTTTACTTGAGTCATATCAAAAACAAAATAAAAGGGAGGTTACTGAATATATGTAAAACTACAGTAGAATTCTCTAGTGATTTTCAAGTGGGACAAGAAGGATCACATGTACTAGATTTGAACGACAGATTTGCTGACAGACTTTATATATTTGATTGAAAGATTTGCTGAGAAGAATGATAACGAAACATAAAACTGGGCATCAGCAGGGTTCAGGGGCTCTTTAAAGTGTTGAAATTGGTTATACCTGGCCAGATAGGGTGGTGTGAAATAAAGGGGGTATAATAAAGGGGTTATCACAGCCCTTTATCAGATAATGTGTATACTATTGTAGGTGTGTCAACATATACTCTCTCGCCTTGATCCCGTAGTGTCACTCACGGGAGATTGTAACTTCCCGGTGATTTCCTCACTACAGATAAGATTTGTCTACAATAAATACAGATAAAACCGCTTTATTTCTTCAGACTTTTGTGGTGTCCTGTGTTGCAGGCCTACTTGTGTTTTGTATAACAGGTATTCTGCATTATCATCTGTAAGCTGGGATTTACTGTGAGAGTTATAAAACATACATAAACTTTATGCCCTGTAGTAGCCATTGCTTATATAGCAATTGCTAAGAACCATCAACTACTGTAAGAAATATGAAAAACTTTCTGCCCTTTAGTAGCCAAAGCTGTTACAGCAATCACTAAGAACCATCAACTAATGTAAGAAATATGAGACACACTTAAACTGTCTGCCCTTTAGTAGCCATTGTTGTTATAGCAATCGTTAAGAACCATCAACTACTGTGAGAGTTATGAAACGTACATAAACATTCAGCCCTTTAGTAGCCATTGCTGTTATAGCTAAGAACCATCAGCAAATGTTACAGCACTTTATTATTTCTATTGCATCACCTGCCAAGACAATGTGACATTTCAGGATCAGACTGTCGGGTCCATATCGACTGAGTGTCGTCATTCACTTAAAGGTTTCCATGCAATAACTCTTGAAAGAAAAGTTTTGCTTTCATGAAATTTCTTTCAAACACTAAAAGCTTCAATTAAGTTAGATTTTCAGCCATATTAGACATTCAATATGGCCGTCAGTCGCCATCTTGGATTTTAGCACCTGAAGTTAATTGAAACAAGTGTTTTTGTATGATAACACTGGAAGGAATGTTTTGATTTTCAAGAAACCTCCTTCAAATACATTACATGTAATTACCTGCCCAAGTAATTACCTGCCCAAGTAATTACTTACCTGCCCAAGTAATTACCTGTGCAGGTTATCGGTTAAAGCAACATATTTCAAAGAGGACAACATAATTTTAATTCTCAGCCTGCAGTAACTTCCAGTTATGAAATTATATTTAAGAAAAAGAAAATTATAGAATTATAGAAAAACAAGCTATGGGTTACACTTAGTCCACTCTTTTAATGATGGTTGTGAGAGAATCTGTTCCTGGGGTGTGTTAGATCAGGCCTGTAGTCCTATACTTTGTTTCTGTAGGCATTTAATACTAACCATGATTCGTGTTGACATTGATTGAAACCTAACAAAGGTAGCTGTTACTTAAATCTTAGTAAAGTCTACAGAATAAGACCCAGTCCACATACCTGGGAGAAGTACTTCATTGTCAATTCACACCTAATTGTGATACGGTATATGTAGATAAAGGCTATTCTGAGGTAGATAAAAGTAATTCGAAATAGAAGACAGAAATCTAACTCCTGTAAAATAAACTTTTAAGTCCATAGCTGATCATTTTGAGGAATGAAGTAACCAAAGATATTTCAAGCAATTATCATATAAAAATAAATGTTTGTATAGTTGGTATTTGATCCTGCGAAGGGCGTCTTTGAGAGGGTGTCAACTTTCCTTTGGTCACCAACAGAACACTCAGAGTGTGTGAGCAATAAAAACAGGAAGAGAACTCATCCAGGTAGATATAACTTATAACAGTGGTGGATGATAGTATCAGTTTATATCTAAATAGGAATTTGAGTCAAATAGTTGAGATTGAATTATCGACTTTTTTTTATAATTCTCTACTTGACTGTATAATAACCTCATTGGTTAAGGATCCCCGTACCACTGCCAAAAACGGTAACCAAGAATTGGAATCTGCTTTTTCTTCCGACTTTATTATTACAAGCTTTGATAAAATATTTCGGAAATAGAAAACTACGGTGTACCTTGCAGGACTTTTATGTAAGATATAAAGATGAAATAAACAAAATGTAATTAACAGCAGTGTTCTGAGTGTCGGAAAGACAGCGTGGCTAGACCGGGATTCAAAGCCTTAACATCAGACTGGTAAACTATCACTCTAACCAATTGAGTTATTTAGTTGATGGAAGTGACCTGGCCAAGTTGTTCTACAGTTATGGCCTGTAACAGAAGTTAAAGGGAGGTCACTGCATATAGGATAAAACACAGTGCAATGGGACAGATATCCTTAATACAGATTGGGTCAGTGTAGTGATGGCCTGTTTTAACCAGTCTGCTAATGTAATGATATGTACGAATCAGTTTTTGACATTCAAGGGACACAACTCTTCACTGAAACATAGTTCTGCCTGATAGCAGTTTAAACTTTGTCCATTAATTATGCATAAAGTGGCACCATGGCTTTTACATGTTAATGTTTTGTTTGAAGCTTATTAATGGCTAATCATCCATACTGTTGACTGGTTTAGTGTAGTATGACTGGGTAGAGGACTAATAGAATCTATCGCTACTGGTTGTGTAAGATAGAGAAATCTCAACCCGAGGACTAAGATTTTTTGTCCAGAACGAGGCTTGCCGAGTTCCGGACAAAAAATCTTAGACCGAGGGTTGAGATTTCTCTATCTTACACAACCAGTAACGATTGATTATTTTTCTCCCATATCTAACAGTATTTTAATGTGAAATAAAGGTAAACATGGACCCAAAACACATACAGGCAATTTGTTGATGGATTGTTGACGTGACGTCATTGTATTGTTGAAGTGACGTCATGCCATTGTTATGAATAGGGGAATCCCCCCGTCTCAACCCTAGGGCGGAGACAGATAAATCTAGCACCGGCAAAACGGGAGATAAATCTGTCAGGTGTGGGAGAATGTGTTGTCACAGTCTTCAGCATGGTATTTCAGTAAGCTTAAGGTAGCACTCAAAAGTGGGCATTGATCTGCGCTATCTCTAGGAGGCAAATGCAGCAAGATACTTCCTCAAGCACACATTTGTGTAATGCACATGCGTACATTATGCAAATGGAGGCACATCCTTCAATTACCTTAGCTTATTTGACATTTAACCCAGTAAACCCAATGAGCTACTGAAAAAAACATTCGTAAAAGCATGCAATTTTGTTGAAAAACATTGGGAAAAAAAATTACTGTATAAAATGAAATCCATAATAATACTACAGTACCCACAGCTGAGATGTAATTCCATATCACATTTTAATTATTATTTACAAGCGACTACAATTTAAATTTATTTTATTTTACATGTTCAGTCAGAAAATGTTCAAATTCCATCCCATTACCATTTGAGAGCTGTAGTGATTCCCATACCATATTTCAGGAGGAGGTCCTTACCAGTTCCTAGTGATTGTACACTTTATTGGGGTAATGTGATTTTCAAAGATTTTAATACTTGATGACATCCTGTTTTTCAGACGATCAGTCGAGCCAGCAGTCGTAAGTCGCGCCCAGCCAGCAGTGGTTCACGCCTGGAGACGGGGCACAGCTCCGACAGCGACACAGACAATGAGGACGTCACACGACACAAACCTCATCTGGAGGTCGACTTCGCCACCGTGGATATCACGGACGAGAAGGCATTTGATACGGATCTCGAGATCGAAGGTATGCTTTATAATTTTCAGTATCCTTAATGAACGATACAAGAAATTTATGTCACTAAAGGACGCTTTGTGTGTAGAGGCTTGATGATTGCAAAGATATCTAGGGTAAAATTTAGGTATGACATTATTTTACGTTATTTAATAGAACAGTAAAATCTAGGTAAATCTTGTATAGCTCAAGCAGTGGCTATGCATTCAAGGTTAGACAATAATTTTGTTTATGAGTTCAAAGGTCTAACCGATTATTTGCTAGTCCTACGTCAATGTAACTAGTCCGAGATTTGATTTCCTGAAGGAAACATCTCCAGCACGAAACAGAAGAAAGTGATTATAAGGAACATAAAATAACTACCGTCATAAAGATAAGGGGAGGTTTTAGGAAAATTCTGTTAATTATAAAGCAATATATCTGTATTTTTAGCAGTTTTCCAAAAATGAAATTCCTATTTCATACCCTACCTATCAGATGATATTGCTATAATAGGACCAGTTAGGTTAGTTGATTCACTAGTTCTTGCTGAAATCTACAAGTCTAGGACACGGTGTCCATAATACTTGATATCACTGTATATATAATTGTTTTTGATGGGGTCTAGTTGAAGATCTGGTATATTTACAGGTCATCCTATTATAAAGGGTTCTGTTAAGATGGGGTACACTTTTCGGGTACCCAATCACCTATAAGTGACACCTTTATAGATATAGGTATCGTGAAGATGTCATGTCCTTGTACATCATTACAGAAAACTTATGTAGAGTAAAACCCTGTTATACTGCCATCATTTTTGCAGAGAAATATCGGCATTATAAAGGGGTTAGGTGATAATTTGAAGGAAATGTATGAGGAATTCTTAAGAAATGAGAAAATGGGACATAAAAATATGTTGGCGGTAAATGAGGCGGCAAATGAAACGAGGGCATTATATTGAGGTTTTACTGTAGTCCAAATTTTTGGTAGATTATGCAACAAATCTATATTCTGTTATCTGGTGGGATTTAGTTCGATGTCTCAGGTGTAATTAACAAATGCTGAATGACACAAATTAATTATTGCCAAACCTTAGGCTGTTTTCATGTTTAAAATGAAATAATGAAGAGATATCTTCTATCTTCTGTACAACTTATATTACCATGGGGAAAAAAATCTGTAAATATTTCATATAGCCCTTTCAAAGTGGTTTTGTTAATACAGCAAATTGCTGATTTCAAATTCTAAAAACTATCCGTTGTGCCATGCAGAAGTTTAGATCTCACATTTTTTTTTTGGGGGGGGGAGTTGGTTTAGATGTTTTCAAAGATTAAAGTTTTATGCAATTTTTCCAGATTTGAAGATGAAAAATTTTCAATTCAAATTTAACTTAATTTAAATCAAGCTTTTTCTTTAGAACTTAGATAATGTGCTCAAATCATAGAACAATTTTTCAGATAACAATTTTTCAAATAAAAATTATACAATAACATTTGATGTTTCAATTTAAAGTTCTTTTCAAACCGTTCAATGGTCCTGTTGAATTTCACATAGGTTGGCGTTAATGATATAGCGATAGGGATCATTACCGTTACTTAAGTAGGTTATTATCTGTGCAATTATTTATAAATTTATCAAAAAATATTTATTCTGCATGACGAAGTAGATGTGCAGTGATTTAAGTGTTGAAAGGACTCAATCAGGTAGATAAGGAAGAATATACTTATGTGAGAAATATTGACAGGTAACGTAGAGATCTGTAGACTGTATACATACATATATCTATACATTTACACACTAAAACATTAAACATAAGGAAGAATTCTGGAGAGAACTGTGCATACTTGCCACCTTGAGAACTTTCCATGGGGAGATTCTGCGTGTTCAAAATTAAAAAGATAAATAAAATGTGTATATAAAACCTAGATACAAAATAACCCTTTAAAATGATTATACGTTGAGTAATTCTTTCAGATGAAATCATTGGATCTTAAAATATAGAAACAGTTTAGAATGTTCATTGGTTGGAAATACCAAGTTTAAGGCCCAAAATCGGGAGTCTCCCCGCTAAATAGGGAGGGTTGGCAAGTATGACTGTACAGCCATGGCCCCCTCGGAACAAAATATTAGTCTCTTCAATTTCTTTCATGTTGCATATAATAGTCCCAGTAATTTTTTATATTGATTAAAAATTTCTGAAATTGGCCCTTTGTTCTTTAAGATCTAGGATATAAATGAAAGAGGAGAACAGATACTATTTCCTGGACAACTGTTCCACCATTTTAAATGGCTATATGTGAGATCATGTTAACCTTTTCACCCCTATGTAACTTTAGTAGACTCTACCATGATTGATATGGATGAGTCCATTATGGTCTACAGTGGTGAAAGGGTTAAGGATCCTTGTCCCACTACAGGCAACCTCCCCCTCATTTTGTTTTGGATATAACTCAGCGCATTTGATTAAGTGCACTTCTCAATCTGTTGACCAATTACCTCAATTGGTTACAGCGACCGTATAACAAACTGAAGTCTGGTGTTCAAATTGTGGCCTAACCCCACTGAATTTTTCCAATCAGAACACGGTTGTTGATTACATTTTGTTAAATCCATCTTAATTTATTAAGAACTGCAATTCCTTTAAGCTGTTGGTTTCTTTTCCGAAATGATAATTTATCAAATGATAATTTATTAAAGCTATATTCATGCAGTAAAAACGGTTTCGATTATATTTTGTTTATTTCATCTTTATTATTTCTCAAAAAAGTTCAGCAAGGTAAAGTTTTCTTTCAGAAATGATTTATCAAAGTTTATTATAGCCGTGGTGAAAGAAAAGTTTCCAACACTAACAGTAGTTACAGTTTTTGGCAGTGGTACGGGGATCCTTAAAAAAACAGTACCTTAATCATATTCTGAGTGTGTTGGCCAAGCCTATGCATATCAAAAGACTGTATGATGATGATATATTTGTGGTTTTGTTAGTGCCTTCCTACGGGAGTCACATGGAAATGATCTCGGACTTCCAGGCTCTCCGCCTGTCCTATTGTATGGACAGCAGCCTCAAGTTCATATCCGACATGAACGATGTCTATAAAACCATCAGTATGTAAAGTTACGCACGTTGGTAGCTTTGGTTGTACATGTATAGAAAATAGTGAATTTTACCGTCAGTTTGTGAACTTCCACATGTGGTAGACTTCAGCTTGGCTGAATACCTTAAATAGTCATGTATTGTGCACATTTTTTAAGAAAATCGGGTAATATCAAGAAAGGCCTGTGCATAATACGCAGAAACAATTCAAAATTGATGTGGATTCAGTTTATAAACTTCCACATGTGGCTGGTTTGGTTGTATAGAAACTGTGGATTTTATTGTCAGTTTGTGAAGTTCCACATGTGGTAGCTTTGGTGCTATAGAAAATAGTAGATCTTGTGCATGTGCTTATCTGCCATGGAATATATAAAGCATTGTTATGAATGACAAGGTATGTCACAGCCTTTTTTGCAAATGGCATCCCCATAGTTAATCAAGATGCTTAATAAATTTCAAAGATGTTTGTTCCATATTGCTCCTGCAGTAAGCCCATGCCTGGTAATAAGCCCACCCATATTTTTCTCAGTTCAGTAGAAATGCCAATAAGTGATATATTTCACTGTTCTGTAATACACCCACCCTACGTTACTTTGAGTCAAGAGATGACGTTTCTGTCCCCTGGGCTTATTGCAGGATGAATACGGTAAGTGTAGGATTCTTACTATCAAATGACACTGTGTTTGACAAAAATGTTATAATAAGAAGCGGTTTTCTGATTCAAAATTTGAGCTATACATCATCATCTTCAGCTATGGTTGATATTTCATATTTTCTCTTTTTTAACTCATTCACCCCTATAATTTCATAATGAACTATTCCAACCTTTGAATTGGAAGAGTTCAAATGTGCATTTAGGGGTGAATGAGTTAAGCCACAGCAAAACAAAACTTGCCTGGTCAGAACATTTCAAAATGTTATTTGACATTAAAATACTGTGAAGTGGAAATTTTGCGTTGTTAACCGTTTTAACTGATCAGGGTGTGGACATTTTGCGTTGTTACCCTTTAACTGATCAGGGTGTGGACATTTTGCGTTGTTAACCGTTTTAACTGATCAGGGTGTGGAAATTTTGCGTTGTTACCCTTTTAACTGATCAGACTGTGTACATTTTCACAATAGCAATAGTTCTGAAATCCGTGAATTCTATTGATCAAAAATATATATAATGTACTATAAAGGAATATTTGTGTATGAATATTTTTGCACAAATTTATTTGACGCGAAAAACACAACCATTTCCGCACTGTCAAAATTTCCACTTTTACATTATCATTTTTGGGAAATGAACCAGTTGTCATTTAAAGAAAATTATTTTATTTAAAGTATTATGTTAAAGTAGTATTTTGATTTTATAGAAAACAATTTTTGTTATTTTTGTTTCTTTGTCTTTTAGAATGTGATATTACAATGGGTACATGTATTATAGTATTTTTCTATCTGTTTTTTTTTTAAAACTTTTGTTATCAAAGCATGTGCATTAAATCTGATTGCTTGTGTTGTAACTTCCTTTCCACTGTCTGTATCATTATACAGGACTTCTAGCTTCTACAGGGCGGATACGACTAAATAACAGTGCTGTCTGAAAGGGATATTATCAATAATGTATTTTTTAAGTATCTATGAAAGATAAAAAATTAAAAAAATAGAAAAAAAAGCAAAAAAAAAGCATAAAAATAATTTATGAGAGAGGTTACTGTGACAAAGACAGATAACCATGGCAATATACAAATAACTATATAACAGACAAATAACCATGAAAATAAACCAATACCTATAAACATCAGATGAATAGCTATAATAACATTTTCAAGCCATTGTACTTTGAAAATTTCTTTTTTCTGATTAAATTATTTTGAAATCGAATCAAAAACTTTGGGGGACATTGTACTTGGATTTTTTTTTTCTAATGAAACTATTTTGCATTCAGTTCAAATCTTTCCCAAAATTTCAGACAAGCAAGAAATGATCTCAATAGATTGTCTTTAATGGGTGAATGATTAAAATTCCTGTGAAACTATAGGCAAATATTATTTTTGTATTTTTGTCAGCCATATTATGTGCATAAAATATAATTTTCAGGATTCAGTAACTCAGAAAAGTTAACTGTTATTCATGTATGGAATGATGTGTAAAAAGAAAGTACAAATTAACCATATTTTATGTTGTATATTAGGGCTTCCTTCCCGTAATCAGTTAACATTAACAAAAAATATTTCATGCATATATACTTTTATAATGTTTCAATTCTAATCAATATATTACTATCCTCAAAGTTCTGTTTCTGATGTTATAAATTTTACCATGATCAATTCTATAACTCTCTGTAATACCTTTTTTATATAAACTCATATCATAATGGAGTTTAACTGTGATTTTCATCCTGACTGTGATATTTTAACAATAAGAAAGAGTCCTGACTTGTTATCCATATATTTCAATACCAAATCTAAAAGTCAAAATCTTATACCACGAATAATCGAGTACATAGTATGTCATTAATGAATTACCTCCCCTTGTACCTTGTTATTTTTGACTTAACCCTCCTGGACCTTTTCATGACAGACTTGCTTCCCCCAAACCTTGCAATTACCGACTTTCCTCCACTGAACCATGTCATTGCTAACTTACCTCTCCTGGACATTCCCATTACAGATTTACCTCCCTAGTATCTGGTCATAACTGAATTACCTCCCCTATGCCATACCATTACTGACTTGCCTCCCCTGAAGTTTACATAACTAACTTATATCCTTTGTATCTTGTCATAACTGAATTACCGCCCCTGGACCATGTCCTAACTGAATTTCCTCCCCCTGCACCTTACCATTACTGAATTTCCTCCCTTGTACCTGTCATAACTGAATTACCTCCCCTGGACCATGGCCTAACTGAATTTCCTCCCCTGCACCTTACCATTTCTGAATTACCTCCCTTGTACCTTACCATAACTGAATTACCTCCCCTGGGCCTTGTCATAACAGGATTACCTCCCCTGGACCTTGTCATAACTGAACTACTTCCCCTGGACCTTGTCATTACAGAATTACCTCCCTTGTACCTTGTCATAACAGAATTACCTCCCCTGGACCTTGTCATAACTGAATTACCTCCCCTGGACCTTACCATTACTGATTTACCTCCCATGGAAATTCCTGTTACAATGTAGTCTTAATATTCCCTGTACCTTGTCTTTACATATTCAACTCCCCTTTACTTTGGCATTACAGAATTACCTCCCTTGTACCTTGTCATAACAGACTTACCTCCCCTAGCCAGTGATCATTTGTTTTAAGATGCATTTAAGCCTTGATAATACTGGAAAATCATGGAACAGGTATAAATTAAGATTGTCAGACTTTAGTTGTACGGTCAGTTTAGACAGTGTCTAATGAACTGTTGGTTAAGTTGCACTTAGTATCTGTACACTGGAAAGTGATTATTGCATGCATTCACGATAAAATGTAAAGACAACCTCGCACCAGATGGCGCTGTTTACCAGGAGTCTATACAGCACCTGTACAGTATACAGCACTGGATTTACAGCATTTTATCTTATCTCAAACTTTACTGCAACATGAAACCAGAAAACTTACACAGCTTTTGAAATTTCTGCTTCAAGACTATATGTATTCCATGGTATTTTTGTTGTTCTGGCCTACTTATTTTGCTATGTCGATTAGTAACCTGTTAAAAATGCAAATATCAAATTTGCAAATTCTTTGTCATTTTCATAGACATTTTTTGGACAATTGACTATCAACTGTGTAGAATGAATTTTTGGCAAAAATATCAAAAGCACTTTATATATACAGAAAAATAATTGGAAATCAAAATGCTCATACCTGGTAAGTCATTGCTGTATACAGTATGTTCTTACTTCGAGAAAAATTACACGAAAACACAACAAGCTTTCAGTATCAATATTATAATGATAATTGTCACCTGGCCACAGTATCAAAACACTTATAAACTTAAAGAACTTTCTTAATTAAAAGATTTATTATTAAATTTAACATTATCGTTTAACTCATTCACCCCTGAAGACACATTTGAACTATTCCAATTCAATGGTTGGAATAGTTCATTATGAAATTTCAGGGGTTACTGTTATAGAATAAGATTTTACGCATTTTATAATGCAATGTTTAAAGTCGACAGGTGATATCTTATCATGAATTCATAAACTTTTGACTGAATTAATAAATGCAATTTGAGAATTTATAACATTCTTAAAGTTAGGATTTTATTTTTTTTAAATTCTGTGATTCTGGGGCCTCGAATGATCTGCAGTGTTAAGTTACTGTCAGAAATCATCTCTCTAGTGCCTAGATTAGTGATATCTGTATGTCAGTTTTTGTTTGTTGTTCATCCAGTATTCTGATATTTTAAGGACATGGCTCCGTGTTCTTAAAATTTAAAGTCAATACAGTAAAACAAAAGTTTAGAAAATATTTATGCTTGTAACTTTCTCAGGGAATCAATATTGCAACTACAGCCAAGATTTTTTTGTATTCTTATGTCTGTATAAACATTTTGTCTCTCCATCTTTTTTACTCTAACAATTGCAGAATGGTTGCATTTCACTCTTGATGACAATGATGAAAATGTGAATGAAACATCAGATGTTGGTGAGATGCTCCCTCAAACATTAGGTCAAGGTCATGATCAGTACTTATTTTTCAGGGTCAAGGTCACGAATAGTTAGCTCGGTAAAGGTTTATACACTGTAGCTCAAGGTCACATAGTATTTATATTTTTTCAGTTTAGATGCAAAACTGTAATATTGGTTGGCCAAACCTTATGTCAGTTACGTCCACGTCAATTTCAATGATTTGCATATGAATGTAATTAGTGGATGAAATTGACATGAGCATGTTGAGAAATGGCAATCAATGGTGCAGTTCTGCATCTTAAGAGAATTGATCTATGTTTGGTAACTGGGGATATTTAATTACACCAGTTTGGTTAAAGGAGTAAGAACTGGTGGTATGGAGATCAAATTTGCAGAATGTGAAAATTATATTCCGATCGGCCACCTTAACATGTAATTTTGAGGATTTGGAACTTTTCTTTGTTACCTAACATAGTTAGTGGAATCAGTGGGTTGTTGTACTATAAGTTAATATGATGGTGAAGGTTTACATAAATTACACATAATCCGACCTCAACACTTTTATCTTATTACTTCTTTGAACATAAATACATGTGATGGTATTAAAAAACTTATTTTAACTCTCTTAGAAACTGCAAGAATTTTCTGTTGACATAGAAATATACTTACCGTATGGATATGGTTTTCAAAAATAACCACTAAACATGGGGTAATTGTGTGAGGTTAATACTGTTTAGTGTCTTGTCAGCTGCTGACATTCTGAAACTTGACATCATCTAAGTGTGATAATAATTTTATTTTAAATAATTTTTAACCCATTCACCCCTGAAGACACTTTTGAACTCTTCCAACTCAAAGGTTGGAATAGTTCATTATGAAATGTCAGTGGTGAATGAGTTAAACATCCTTTCTGTGAAACTTTTGAAAACTGCTTCAATTTTTAACCCTTTCACCCCTAAAGTCACATTTGAACCTTACCAAATCAAAAACTGGGCGAGTCCAGTTTAAATATGTGGGGGTGAATGAGTTAAGCATTTGCTATGATACCATACATTATTATGTATGTTATATAGAAATGTTCTATGTACAATTGTTGTTGTATATAAGCAATGTCAGTTTCAAGTTTTACCAAAGTTCCAGGTAAAAGGTCAATCGGTATGATGTATCGGGGTATACAATTTCTACTCTTGGGTGTAATTGCTACATCTGCCATTTTGACGTACTTCTGTTATCAGGAGCATTGGCTAAAGTTGCTTGAAAAATATCAATATTCAGTCAAGTTTTAATTACGTTGAATTCATTAGGGATACAAGAAATTACATGTTCTCTTTTCAATTCTGCATGTTGAAGAAAAACTGCTGAAAAGTAGGTGGTTTTTTTTTGGTATTGTTTTTTTTTCTCCAAACGAATTCATGATTGATGTATGCCAATATGAACAGTAATTATAAAACAATGTGGCCGACTTCTGTGTCGGGTGAAATATGAAACAAACAATAAACATCAATAGAGATTTAAGCTGGAAATTGAGTAATCAGAAGGAAATGCATTTCGTTTGACTTCCTCTGCTGATTGGTGAGTGTTTGATTTGTTTACAGGTAACTAAGGACCGAGTGCCTCAATCGTCCACATATTGTACCTGCATGTTGTTTGAATATTGATGCATCACCTTGATTTATTTCTGTGTATTGATTTGTATTTGTTTGAAATTGGTTGTGTAAACTTGTTTTATTGCTTCAAATATTAAGGAAGAGGATATTGCCAGAAGTTAAAGGAATCGATTAAAGGATTTTTTTTAAAATATTTATCCGAGGATATTTTGAAAAAATATAAAATAATGTTGATTATGATATTTAAAGAATGTTCAATTGTTCCCTGGACATGTGAAATAAAAATGTACGTTATCATTCTGTGCATGCTCAACTCTAAATGAGGTCAGCAATTATCACTGTATTACTCGGTACACAATATTTCCAATATTTAAAACGTTTTTTCTACATTTTTTGCAGAACAAACTACATCATATGACCGCACTGGTCGGACAGCATACATCGAAGGTTGTAAAAAGATGGGTGTGGTACCTGCCTCGTATTTCCTGCGTCATATGCATGACACTAACCTCAGTATGAAACACCATGGGCTTGGATCTATGGGCATGAAGCCCATAGCAATGTCTCTCATGGTAAAGTAGATATAGAATATATGGGTACAAAGCCCATAGCAATGTCTCTCATGGTAAAGTAGATATAGAATATATGGGCATGAAACCCATAGCAATGTCTCTCATGGTAAAGTTACATATATGAATTTTGATGACACATCAATGTTAAATCACATTCCTGTTTAAATTGTGGGATATTCATAACATAATAGTATAAAATCTTATTAACACTAAAAGTTTTAAATGTTCAACAAGTATCTAACCTACAATAAAATGCATCAGTTATCTCCCTTTACAGTGTAAAATCCTTATCCAAACAGACTTTTTGTAATACCAATATTTCAATGCCATGGAAGCCTAAAAGATTAATTAATTCTGAATATATAACTAACTGAACTTGCCTCCTTTAAATTCAGACCAACACGCAGATTGTGAAGCTAGACCTGAGTGACAACTGGCTAGGCCACCATGGAGGGCTGGCAGTATGTGAGATGCTCAAGGAAAACTGCTTCATCACTTTCCTCGTATGTATAATAAACCAAGAGGTTTCACTATATATAAGTGGTCAATATAGAGAGGTTATTGTAATCCATATACTGCTTTATACTACCTACTGGTAGCATGATAAAGTCTTTATCATGGGTTGTCAGTATGAAAATACTCAAGAAGAAATTCGGAGAACAACTCGAGAATGGATTGTCCCATTTGGGAACATATTTTCTCAAAAAGAATGTCTGCTCGCACTAGGTGACGCCCTGAACCGGAAAAAGTATCTCACAAAGGTTATCCGCGTAAGAAAATAGTCTGTCATAAACAAATCATTGTTAAGTTATGAAAAAATATTGTGAGGATAACAACACCATTCTAAACGAAAATGTGCATATGGAGAAGCCAATGCCGGTAACATAGTTTAACCCTTTCACCACTGTAGACCATAATGGTCTCATCTAGATCAATGCATGGTAGAGTCTACTAAAGTTACATAGGGGTGGAGGGTTAAAAACATATCTTTCTGCATAGTTTTAAGTTGAAACACATGATGTCAATATAAGTAGGTGTCATACTACATAGGTTGTTAGACATGTGCAACTATACACAGGTTGTCAGTTTTAACAGGTCGCTGTACAGTTACTGGGGGAGCTATGGGCATGTGGTCATTATTATATAATATGTAGAAAGACATGTAAGAGTAACGTAATAATTTCTGACAGGGGTGTGCAAATTTTCAAAGGTTAACTTCCAGGGGCTAGTTAGTAGATTGTATATATCAGGGCTAGCAAAATATAGGTTTGGCTTGTAGAATGTTTGAAAACCTGTCTTCAGGCTCGTATATGAGGATGAAATCATACAACCTTTCTGAGGAAACATTTGTGATCCAATCTTAATTTTAGGGGAATAATATCATGAAACAGAGTATTTTATGGGGGAAAAAAAACAAAATAATTCAGCAAAACACCAAAGCTCAGATAGCATTCAGGACAATTATTCAATGCAGAATCTAATATATTACATGTATGGCACATGATAGTCATCTATGAAGTTACTCAGCAGGCACAGATATAGGCCCCTGGTCATATTGGACAGCCATAATTTCAACCTCATCATGCAACAGATTCTATCTTACTGATAATGAAGTCACTCTGAAAAAAAATGAAAAATCTGTGATTATGTTCAATGTATTGCAGGATTTATCAGATAACAAATTTGGTACACGCATGGCGGAGCACTTAGGGAAAATCCTGAATTCTAACTCCACGCTGACACACGTTGTACTGGCTGGTAAGTAACGGACACCACATTAACTCTTTCACCCCTGACATTTCATAATGAACTATTCCAACCTTAGATTTGGAACAGTTCAAATGTGACTTCAGGGTAAATGAGTTAATATTTAATAAAAAATCAAATATTTGTTTTGTTTATTTAACATATTCTAATGAAAATGGAAAGATGCTGTGTAGAATCATAATGGCAGTATTGTGATTTATTTACATTAAAATGTTGATAGCTTTGTACCTGGATATGTTTTGTAGTATACTGCAAATCTCCCTAAAATTCCTTGAATTAATAAATTATTCATTAATCCTCCATTTAGAGGCTACAAAACAACATAAATGAAATAATATTAGGTTACATGCAATATTATTTCCTTTTTTAATGTTTCACTATTTTATCACTAATTCAGAGAAATTGTCTCAATATTTTCGACCAAAACTCACTAAAAATTTCAACTGATCTCACTATTTTGCACCAGAAAGTTTAATGGCATATATGATATTAATCAATTCATAAACTTTAAATACATTGACCACGCCTACACTCAATAGATTGTTTGTTCTGTTACCATAGGGTAATCACATTAAAGATGAAAGACAAAAGTCTGTCTCAAGAAATTTCTTTTCTTGTGTTAAATTTGGATCGGCCATTAAACCAATATGTGTTCTGTATTGTTGTTTAAGCATGTCATTTCGTCTCTGTAGGTAACGACTTTGATGATACGGCTGCTGTGTCCTTTGCTGATGTTATCATGGTAAGTGTTGAAGATTAGTAGCAGATGTTGGCGCTTTAGTTGTTGTTCTTACTGAAATGTTGTTTGAAAAATATCAAATTTTTTCACCCTTAACTTAAACTTAAATTGGTCAGTTTTGGTTAAACTATCAGTACATGTATTGCTTGATTGTCTTTATTATTAGTTTTTGTATCTGCTGTCAAAAAAAATGTTTGTTCGGATAACTCATTTAGGAAACAGTAATTTTTATCCAGACTGCTATTTTGCCACAATTTAGAAGCATAAACTGCACTTTGTATATTTTAGAGTTTCTGCCCTTTAATTCTGAATAGGGTTGCAAACAAATTAGAGAATGCACAAAATTTGATTACTTGTCGGCAATTCTCTTCAGTACTATAGAACAATAACGCTAAACAGTTCCATGATTTAACTCACTTACCCCTGAAAACACATTTGAACTATTCCAATTCAAAGGTTGGAATAGTTCATTATGAAATTTCAGGGGTGAATGAGTTAAAATACATTACAATGTACCATTCTAATGTTCTTGGTTTCATCATATGAATTATATGTCACTGTATCTAACTGTCATAACTTCAATGCATTTTGAAGAAAATGCTGAATTGAAACTAACTTCAATTGTAATATATTAATTTCTAGAATACGACAAAGATCGAGCATTTGAATCTGAGTCGGAACGTGTTTGGTGAGTTAGGGGGTATGTTGCTGGGACCCGCCATTGCTGAGAACAGCTCACTCAAGGAACTAGACCTCAGCTGGAATTCTCTACGCAGGAAGGGTGCTATAGCTGTCGCACAAGGAATTAAGGTAGCCATTAAAAAATTCCTAGCAATATTCTTCAGAGATAAAAATCCTGTCAGCCTGGTAAAATACAAGCCGCTTCCTTCCAACTAGGCTAGGGAGAATTTCTTGTAAGATCATTCGGTAGAGCGTAAGACTAGTAAGCCAGAGGTCCCGGGTTCAACTCCTGGCGGAGGCATTGAAAAAATAATGACCTCTGTTACATTCCCATCAAAAGTACACGAGTTATTTCCCTTGATGAGAGTTGTTTGTTGGAACATGATAGCAAGCATTATGATATATCAATTGAGAATAATCCACAAATATTCTTCATGACATAAGGCTGCCAAATATTTTTGTGTCTCTGATATACATAGATTTCAGATAAGAGTAGGCCGTGGCGGCCAAGTGGTTAAGGCATTTGACTGTATACGATCACTTGGCCTCCAACACTAGGTCGTGGGTTCTGACTGTCTACGATCACTAGGCCTCCAACACTAGGGCGCGGGTTCTGACTGTCTACGATCACTAGGCCTCCAACACTAGGTGGTGGGTTCTGACTGTCTACGATCACTAGGCCTCCACCACTAGGTCACGGGTTCTGACTGTCTACGATCACTAGGCCTCCACCACTAGGTCACGGGTTCTGACTGTCTACGATCACTAGGCCTCCACCACTAGGTCACGGGTTCTGACTGTCTACGATCACTAGGCCTCCACCACTAGGTCACGGGTTCTGACTGTCTACGATCACTAGGCCTCCAACACTAGGCCGCGGGTTCTGACTGTCTACAATCACTAGGCCTCCAACTCTAGGATGTGGGTTCTGACTGTCTACAATCACTAGGCCTCCAACACGAGGTCGCGGGTTCTGACTGTCTACAATCACTAGGCCTCCAACTCTAGGATGTGGGTTCTGACTGTCTACAATCACTAGGCCTCCAACTCTAGGATGTGGGTTCTGACTGTCTACAATCACTAGGCCTCCAACGCTAGGTCGCAGGTTCTAACTGTCTACGATCACTAGGCCTCCAACACTAGGGCGCGGGTTCTGACTGTCTACGATCACTAGGCCTCCACCACTAGGTCACGGGTTCTGACTGTCTACGATCACTAGGCCTCCAACCCTAGGTCACGGGTTCTGACTGTCTACGATCACTAGGCCTCCACCACTAGGTCACGGGTTCTGACTGTCTACGATCACTAGGCCTCCACCACTAGGTCACGGGTTCTGACTGTCTACGATCACTAGGCCTCCAACCCTAGGTCACGGGTTCTGACTGTCTACGATCACTAGGCCTCCAACCTTAGGTCGCGGGTTCGCAGCCTACGTGGGGCAGTCGAAAGTTACTGGCGGCAGGTCGGTGGTTTTTCTGTGGGTTCTCCTGCTTTCTCCACCACCAAAACCTGGCATGTTCTTAGATAACTATAGCTGTTAATAGAAACACAAACACCAACACTAGGTCGCGGGTTCTGACTGTCTACGATCACTAGGCCTCCACCACTAGGTCACGGGTTCTGACTGTCTACGATCACTAGGCCTCCAACACTAGGTGGTGGGTTCTGACTGTCTACGATCACTAGGCCTCCAACCCTAGGTCACGGGTTCTGACTGTCTACGATCACTAGGCCTCCAACACTAGGATGTGGGTTCTGACTGTCTACAATCACTAGGCCTCCAACCCTAGGTCGCAGGTTCTAACTGTCTACGATCACTAGGCCTCCAACACTAGGACGCGGGTTCTGACTGTCTACAATCACTAGGCATCCAACACTAGGTCGCAGGTTCTAACTGTCTACGATCACTAGGCCTCCAACACTAGGCCGCGGGTTCTGACTGTCTACAATCACTAGGCCTCCAACACTAGGTCGCAGGTTCTAACTTTCTACGATCACTAGGCCTCCAACACTAGGTCGCGAGTTCTGACTGTATACGAGCACTAGGTCGCGGGTTCTGACTGTATACGATCACTAGGTCGCGGGTTCTGACTGTATACGATCACTAGCTCGCGGGTTTTGACTGTATACGATCACTAGGCCTCCAACACTAGGTCGTGGATTCTGACTGTCTACAATCACTAGGCCTCCAACACGAGGTCGCGGGTTCTGACTGTCTACAATCACTAGGACTCCAACACTAAGTCGTGGGTTCTGACTGTCTACAATCACTAGGCCTCCAACGCTAGGATGTGGGTTCTGACTGTCTACAATCACTAGGCCTCCAACTCTAGGATGTGGGTTCTGACTGTCTACAATCACTAGGCCTCCAACACTAGGTCGCAGGTTCTAACTGTCTACGATCACTAGGCCTCCAACACTAGGTCGCGGGTTCTGACTGTCTACGATCACTAGGCCTCCAACCTTAGGTCGCGGGTTCGCAGCCTACGTGGGGCAGTCGAAAGTTACTGGCGGCAGGTCGGTGGTTTTTCTGTGGGTTCTCCTGCTTTCTCCACCACCAAAACCTGGCATGTTCTTAGATAACTATAGCTGTTAATAGAAACACAAACAAACCATTTCAGTAACCCAAGACCTTGGGTCAAATACACAGGAAAAATGTGTTTGATGCATGAGTTTTCCACGTCATGCATCACCTTGATGATTCACAGAATGTTGTGTAATACACACTGCTCATGGTCAACCTCATCATCCTTCACAAACAAGTTTTACCAACTAGATCACATAGCCATAGGCATAATTAAGACACCTGGGCGCATATTCAACTGTTCCCATGCTCAAGTACGGATTTTGTGCTCAAGTAGTCTAATTTCTTGTTTCAGTTATAAATCAATAAAACACATCCTATTTTGTCAATGAATTGGAAAAAAAATGAAGAGACTTTAATTTACTTTAAAAGCCGAAAATATTGTTTTCAATGTTTGCATTTGACTTTTTGATCATTTGACATGATTTATGCGAGTTACAGAAAAGCTAGTTTGAGCACAGAATCTATGCTTGTGCATGAGAATTGTTTCATGAATACGGGCCCTGATATTCATTCGCAAGATTGAAAGAAATTTTCTGATCTATTCATAACTTATTTGTTCCTATTTTACATTATTTCTTATATAAATGCATAACTTATATTAAGGTCGTCGTATTGGTTATCAGTGTACTTTGTTTTTAATTTGAATATTGTCCAAAAGCCTTATAGACGAAAATCTTTGTTTTTTGTTTTGAGCTTTCCAATTCCGTCTTTACGTATTGCAGAGTTATCTTCTCTTGAGAACAGGTATTGATTGTTACGTCATTGGTTTGTGTGAGAAAATTACGTCGTTTTCTCAAAAAATGATGACGTTACTCTCACAAACAAATGACGTAACAATCAATACCTGCTCACAAGAGAAGATAACTCTGCAATACGCAAAGACGGAATAGATATAGACAGTGATAAGTACTCCATTTCTGGCTGTATAGAAGTACGTAATGTTGATTGTGATATGAAATAATTGAAAAATGTGTGCGATTTGTTCTTCTATGCAGCATAATATATACATGAAGAAAATTAGCCTGTCATGGAACGGGTTTGGACTGGACGGGTCAGTAGCGATATGTGATGCTCTCAAGAATAACCAGACGCTGGAGGAGATAGATTTAACGTGAGTTATGACATCATCGCAGGGTCTGCTCCGTCCTTCATTCGTACATCTGTCAATGTCATTTACTAGGAGATGATTTTGGGATGTGGTCATGTGTAATAGTGCATGGCTAGTGCATTTGCCTCTCAAAAAGTATGCAGTCACTTGCCTGATGATGAGTTTTCTCCTGGTACTCCAGGATTTCCCTTTTAAGACCCTCTGCATGCTTCCATCTATGCCAACAAGTGGTCGTAATTTGTTTCAAAATTGTTGTTTAATTGTAAGACAAGAAATCTCAACTTTCAAGAACTATTTTTGAAAATCCAAAACTGGGTAATTTCTGATTCAGGAATCTTGCACCATTAGGTTTGAAATTTCTTTTTCATACACCCAAGGTAGGTAATGATTTAAATTTTTTCTCAACCTCTTCGTCTGCTGAGAACTCCCATACCTTGTCTGTTTGTGAACAGAGGCACATGGGTAGTGTATGAAAATCATCTATCTGACAGTTTTCATACGTATATCAATATGCAAAAAAAAAAATCAAAATAATTTTGTCAATATCATCATCTCGAGAAACAGGTATGGATCAAAATAATTCATTAACAAATAGGAATGATGATTTAAACTAATTTCCAGCTCGGCATTTCCAGTTTTCATACACTGAGCATTGAGATTTGACAGAGAAAACATTCCTGATTGAAGGGAGACAATTCTGTAAAGGGTTGTCCTGAGAATAAAATCATTTTTGGCCGATTTCATAATAGAAGTAGTGGTTTATCTGTACATGTATTTAAATTATTTTTACAGGAATAACCGAATAACTGCTGAAGGAGCTGTGATAATAGGAAAAGGACTGTCTGTAAATGAAACGCTTGTTTCTATAAAAGTAGGTGTACCATCTTCAATACGATTCATCAGTTTGTTAATAGAATGTATGTTATATCAAAGTTTCACTTTATACACAAACAATGGACATATTAAACGTGTCGCAACGCTTCAAGACCAACTGGTCCCTTTTTGTGTACCAAGTTGCTGATATAGCTGTATTCTTTTTGTGCAATAATTTGCTCAATAAAACAATGGGTGTGTTCTAATAACTAAACTTTGAACAAAAGCTATCAATCTCAAATAGTCTTGTTTTGGACATTTTTGTTGCATTGTTACTTGATACAGTGAAATCTTTCATTTTCATTTGTGCAAAAATTAATTTCCTTAAATTAAAAAAAAACGTTATCTGTTAGGAAATGAGTTAAAATTCCTGGAAAAGTTGTTTCAAATGATTCACTTCTAGCATAACATCTGGCTTTTGAAAGTTATTTAATCTTTGTTCTGGTTAGCAAATTTTCAATGTACCTATAAATTTGTGGATAAAGAAGTATATTTATGGAATCAGCGAAAATAAATCATCCACAAAAATGAATGATTTCACAGTAAATGGTAGTTTTGGCAGCAGAGTTACTGCACTGTACAAGTTATAACATGTATGATGATGAACAAGAATTGCTGGGTACTTTTCTGAGACTCCAGCATCTAAAATTAGATCATATTGGAAAGAAGTGAAAAAGACTCTTTTTTTTCAACATTTAAAAATCATCAAACTGATGTCAGATGCAAAACTTTAGAAACCTTCATTAGTCTACCACTACACTGAATATAAGAATCATTGTCAATTTAAATATTTTAAAATTGAAACATTGAAAGTTTTGAATTTTCAACTCTTCCAAAAAATAAGTAATATAAGCTAGCTATAGCATGACACAAGGAAAAAATGTTGATTTGTCTTTAGTAAGAAGCCACTCAGAAATGATAGAAAAGTGATTGATTTTTTGGTACTTATGTCAATTTCTGTACAGTTTATGTACATGAATGTGTTCTCGTTACAGATGGGTAAAAATCCTATGCAGAGTGCAGGGTGTTACGGAATCTGTGCTGCCATTTTACGCAATCCTAACAGCATTATGAAGGAGCTAGACTTCTCTGTAAGTAGCAGCCTTAGTGTACTTTGTCTTACTGTTTATCAGTTAGCATAAAGAGATATAATATTTTATCAATGTTTAGCCTGTGCTCTGCTTAAACAGAGGAGTATCTGGAAATACACTCATCTCACGTAGTGTCTAAAAAAAAAATAGCCCAGTGTATTTAACTCCCTTTCTAAGGATGGGACATCATGGCATCTTCAGTAAGGTAAAAAAAATATGTATGTTTCAGGTTATGTGACTGAAAAAAATAGGGAAGGTTGGTAGGGATTTTTTTTATATATCTATTTATTTATTAGGTTTTGGGGGGAGGGGCTAATTTAAGAAATTACAAAAATCACCAAACGTAGTTATTGAGAGCACTTGTGTCTTGTATTCAGTTTTCATCATATTTTAGGTATTTTAAAAAATAAAATGGGATTTAAATTTGGTTTTGATCAATTTGGGTTTGATACCTGCCTTTCAAGTAGAGAGGTGTCTTAAAGACAATTATGATTTTTGGCACATTCAAATGAAACATTTGAGTGAGTGTGAGTGAACATTTTTTAGGGTTGAATGTAAAAACTAGGATCAGTTGGGGTACCTGGAACATATTTTCTTGTTTTGGCCTAGTGAGCCCGGGGAGATGGGGAGGAGGTCCTTGATTTCTTTTAACCTGAGTAAGCAAAAAGAAATGCAGAGCATCAACATCCATCAGAGGGAGCCTCTTAAGTTACCAGGCATGTAGTTTGCCAAGCGTTCATAACTTGAGAATCTTCAAATCTTCTCTTGATCAAGGGTCGAGATCCCCCATCTTGCCCCAAAGGAGGTTCAATCGATCTTTTCATCTGAATTGACGTCAATTCAGTTTCTGTTTTCTTTTCTTGTTTTGTCTTTGTGTAGTGATGCTGTGACATATTGTTTTTCCATTAACTCATTCGCCCCTGAAATTTCATAATGAACTATTCCTACCTTTGAATTGGAAGAGTTCAGATGTGTCTTCAGGAGTGAATGAGTTAAACAAAAATAAAATAATATTTGTTTAATTTTCTTTTCGTCTGATTTTCTTGCAGGATATTCTTGTGAACAATGACTTTAATGATATTTACAAACAAGTCCAAGAACAGTGTCCTGAATTGAAATTAAAACATGGGGGAATGGAACCCCCTAAGAAACCAAAGAAGCCTGTCCACCCGATGGTGAAGCTGGCCAACTACATACAGAAAAACAACCTCAGGCTCGTAGACTTCTTCAACAAGTTTGATAAGGATGGAAGTATGAGCGTCACGTACGAAGAATTCCAGCAAGGCATAGAGGTAATTTATATGTCATTGAAACAGTAGACTGGATCAGTTGTAACATTTCAGGGTGTGATATTACGTATCATACGCCGGGCTCATGACCGAAGGGTTGTGGGTTCGAGTCACGGTACGGCACTGGGTTGTATCTTTAAGCAAGATACTTTACTCTGCTTGTTCCAGTCTACTCAGCTGTAAATGAGTATGTGGTTGGGTAGTGCCAGAATTGTAGAATGCTAGCTGTGAGCGCCGTAATGGCATCACCAGCTGTATGCTCTCCTGGGAGTTGAGAAAGATAGTGGCTGATTGCGAAGGCCCTATAACCAGGGATAATAGTTTGTGAACCGCTTTGAGACGACCTACAAACTAGGTTGTGATAAAGCGGTATATAAGAACCTCAAATTATTATTATTATTATCATAGACATTATACCCCGGACCTCAGCCCAGCTGAAAATTGTTTTTGTCAGGAGGCTCTGTGGGATAGACTGCAGTCGTCTCAAACACAAACGAATAAAAACAAAATCCCTTATAGAGTTTTTATTTGAACACGTTCTGTCAAAAAACCCAAAATGATTTAAATTCAATCTTATATTAGCATAACTAGACTGGCTCCTGTCTCTAACATATTGAATGGGTACAGAAAAATATAAGACTCTAATGATTTTAATCGGTTGGATCTCAGTTTCAAATGAGTGAAAAAGTTTCAATGTCTTGGATGTCTAAGTTTAAAACTAAGGGGAGATAAGAAGATAGAAGAATGGAGCTGGAAAAATCGGTACGAGATGTAAGTTGATGATGGCTTGTCTATAATATTATAAATACTTAAAACAAATTCCTAGTGAAAAAGCCACAATCCTACATTTGAAAAAGCCACAATTAATATAACTATATTTACATAAAACACACATCATGCTTTAAAGGAAATTTCACTGCAACGAATTGAATTTTTTATTTCATTTTTTGGTGATGTCCATCAACAGTGTGCTAAGTTTGCATTAAATCGCTTCCGTTTTGGTCCCAACAAGGTAATTAGTGCTACGTGTTGGATATTGTAGAGTCGAGCAATGAAAATCTCGTATGTGTTGTTTTCACATGTAATTGTCATGTCACTGGAATACTTCAAAACGATTGGTTCACTATGTTAAATTGTCACGTGACAAGAATACTTAAATATGATTGGCTCATTATGTTGTCATGTCACCAAAATATTTCAATATTATTGGATCTGCGTTTTATCCTTTATCCCACATACCAACAATAATCAACCCCCACCCGAACGTCAGGTAAAGAGCTCTTGATATTTTTCAGTATACAGATTTACAGAATTGTTTGAATTAATATAATGACCAATTTAGTATAATAGATTCAATCTGTACAGATATACAATACAGGTGAGGTATCAAGCAGGTCTATGGGGCATTGTATGTGCTTATGACAATTCTGTGTTGTATTAACTTAAAACTGTAGTAAAAATGTATCTGTTTCAAATTCATAGATATTTGAATATCTTCGCAAGCTTGTCCATACATTTTTCAGACATTAAGTTTCCTGACTGGAATATAAAATTGAGCCTAATTCTGTTGTAGGTTTTTGGTTGATACCTGTGCTACAAAGTGTCACCAGATGTCATGTAACACACAGTTTTACATTGTTGGGTGTCATGAAATATAAACAGGCATGATATATTAACATGTGATGGTTTATACTTACATACATTAAGTTTTCAAGGTAGTACATTGCATAACTGAAATTACATATTAAGTGTTCTGTACATAATTTAGTGTTCTATATTAAACATAGAAAGTGTTCTGTATCAAACATAGAAAGTGTTCTGTATCAAACATAGAAAGTGTTCTGTATCAAACATAGAAAGTGTTCTGTATCAAACATAGAAAGTGTTCTGTATCAAACATAGAAAGTGTTCTGTATCAAACACAGAAAGTGTTCTGTATTAAACATAAGCGTTCTGTATAAAACATAAGTGTTCTGTATTAAACATAAGCGTTCTGTATAAAACATAAGTGTTCTGTATTAAACATAGAAAGTGTTATGTATTAAACATAGAAAGTGTTCCGTATTAAACGTAGAAAGTGTTCCGTTTTAAACATAGAAAGTGTTCTGTACTTAACATAGAAAGTGTTCCATATTCAACATAGAAAGTGTTCTGTATTAAAAATAAGTGTTATGTATTAATCATAGAAAGTGTTCTGTATTAAACATACAAAGTGTTCTGTATAAAACATAGGTGTTCTGTATTAAACATAGAAAATGTTCTGTATTAAACATAAGTGTTCTGTGTTAAACATAGAAAGTGTTCTGTACTTAACATAGAAAGTGTTCCATATTCAACATAGAAAGTGTTCTGTATTAAACATATAAAGTGTTATGTATTAAACATATAAAGTGGTCTGTATAAAACATAGAAAGTGTTCAGTATTAAATATAGAAAGTGTTCTGTATTAAAAATAAGTGTTATGTATTAATCATAGAAAGTGTTCTGTATTAAAAATAAGTGTTATGTATTAATCATAGAAAGTGTTCGGTATTAAACATAGAAAGTGTTCCGTTTTAAACATAGAAAGTGTTCTGTATTAAACATATAAAGTGTTCTGTATAAAACATAGAAAGTGTTCTGTATTAAGTGTTATGTATTAATCATAGAAAGTGTTCCGTATTAAACATAGAAAGTGTTCCGTATTAAACATAGAAAGTGTTCTGTATTAAACATAAGTGTTCTGTATAAAACATAAGTGTTTTGTATTCAACATTTAAGTTTTGGTGTGGAGCTTACTGTTGTTTATTAAGTATAACTGGTATTACATAATAATGTACTGGCTTACTAATCTGTACATACTTGTTGCATGTTTGGGGCTAGCAATTAATATTGGGGGCTGGTAACATGGTTTGCTTTTTATTTTTTATGTTTCAGTGTATTGTAACTAAAGTGTCATCGGAATATACACAGAAAACAATGTTTTTCTTTAAATTCATAACAAATTCCTCTCCCTCTATTTGAACACTGATAGCAATGAATTAATTAATATATGTTTGAATATATGTATGTTAATTGCCATTACAGTTTAAGTTTCAAGAAATGTTTGAATTTGTATTTAACAAGTAGACCCATTTTAGCCCATTGAACAAGTTTATATAACTCTCTATTTACAATAGATATCTCTGAAAGTTTTGTTGCTGTGAAGTGCACATTTTTTCCTCTATCCAGTTACCTGATTATCTCCCCTTGTTTATATCTTTCCTGGCTTGTAAAACACGACAAATGTCCTTATAGATAAGTAATGAATGCCATCAACTTGCATAAACCTTTTCATTTACAAAAAAAAAAAAAAATGAAATGAAAATACAAATCTTAGACAGATATCAAGTAACTGAGAAAAGAGGTTTCCTTGAGCATATCAGTTTCTGAACATCAAACTTTCCGTCAAGTTTTATCTGTATTCCTCAGCAGCCAATTTTCTGTTAACTTTGTTAACTCATTCATCCCTGAAGACACCTTTGAACTTTTCCAATTGATGCGTTGGAATAGTTGATTATGAAATTTCAGGGGTGAATGAGTTAATCGAGCTGTGATAATTTGTCTACAGGAGACGGGTATCAAGCTGTCGAGTGATGAGGTCAGTCAGCTACTACTGGAGCTGGACAGCGATGGGGACGGTGAAATTAACTACAGGTAACACACTCTCTAACAGTTACTGACTCGGAGTGATAGATGTATTGTAGTAGAAATAGTTGTCACAGCCTAGAGTACTGTCTCTGAGAGATCAGACACAAACCGCTGGTATTATATCTGAAATAGCTGGCTCACAGTGTACTGTGTCTGAGTTTTATACATGTATACATATTTATATATATTACAGCTGAAATAGTGTTCAATGTATTGCAGTACTTTCTCAAAGTGACATCCATATATGTATATTATAGTTTTTACTGCCTATGTACTGTCCCGGATAGAGAGACAGTACATATTTAAGTTGTAGTAGTAGTTGTCACTGCCTTTGAGTACTGTCTCCGAGACATGTCATAGATGTGATGTAGCATATATATCTTGTGTCACAGTCTCAGTGACAGTATCATTTGACCAAAATATTCGGAGATTGTTTTTAGTAAGCATGGTTTGTAGACTGGTCAGTATGGTCATGCAGTCACACTGGGGTCATTATATCTTGTATGGCTCTTTTTCAGGTATCAATATGTATGGCGATTACAACAAAAAACTTTTGTCTCGAAGATTTCCCAATTTTTTTTTAAAAAAATCATTAACTCATTCACCCCTGAAATTTCATAATGAACTATTCCACCCTTTGAATTGGAGGAGTTCAAATGTGTTTTCAGGGGTGAATGAGTTAAATGATTTTTCAAGTTAATAACTCATGTAGTATAAGTTGTAATAGATGTCACTGCCGTAACAAAGAGCAGTTACTACAAAGTAATACACAGAAATAATTGTTATGATCATAAAACTTTTAATCACTAAAACCTCTAAAAACTGACCAAAATGAATATATAAAACCACAATTATCAGGTGATTTTGTTTTTCTCTGAATTATCTCCCTTTTTGGGATTTTTCATGATTCCAGTGATATTGTTTTCAGTATAAAAAATAATGTTCATACAGATGTATCTTTTATTTTACAATGTTACAACAAAACTTGAGCCTTTAGAAAGTATATGAAAGGTAAATGATATTACAGATAGATCTAGATTAGGTATAGGGTTGTTGTGTGATCATATTTCTTCATACTTATACATGTATCTATATGTTAGTTACTGAAAATTACTGTTTATTCATGGACGTTTATTTTGATTTCAATTATTTTAGTTTTGAAGTCAATCTGATTAAAATTCAACTTTGACATATTCCTATATGTATTGGGTCTAATAACAGTGCCTGGGCGGGTAATATTCTGGTGACTTTTTACCTTTTACTGTGGCCAATCAAGAATGATGCCCTCAAAATTCTTGATACAGGCTAAAAAAAATGAATATTTACCGTATTTTACCACAAATAAGCCCCCTCCCCCTGAGAAAAAAGATGGACCAAAAGTTGGGAGGGGCTTAATTGCGAGCAACTCCCCCTGTTCACATTACTTCAGCATGACAGCATGGTCCGCCATCTTGGATTATATCTCACCTCTTATCATAATTTATATAAATGCCCAGGTATGAAATGAATGGTCACCAGAACTTAACCTCTGATGCAATGTTGACAGTTCCTAGAGCGTTGTATTGTAAATGGGAAATGGGAAAGATCTGGTTTGGGTCGGATTGTTTTAAAGTATAATCTGGACACGGTAAAAACTTCCAAAGGGATGAAACCTAAAAAAATCTATGTATCTTCACAATGGATAAGTTTCTCAAAATGAATTTTCCTATGACTATATTAATTTAACGTATATTGGAAAAAATAATATTTACGTAGACCGTATCGCCTGCTTGGTATACAATAGTGATGGCATGTTACCTTAGGGATGGTCTTAATGTTGATAATATCCTGGTATAATGATATAGATGATGCTATTCCGTCTTTGCGTATTGCAGAGTTATCTTCTCTTGTGAGCAGGTATTGATATTTACGTCGTTTTCTCAAAAATTGATGACGTTACTCTCACAAACAAATGACGTAACAATCAATACCTGTTCACAAGAGAAGATAACTCTGTGTTACGCAAAGACGGAATATGTCGCTAAGCTGTTGTTACATGATATACAAATATATACATATATGGGAATTAAATTTTCATTCTATTCTTAATGTAATATATTCTATATTTAAGTCTAATCTTCTTCCTGACGTTAATAATATTTGTTATGCTTGCTGTTTTTTGCTAAATTTATCATTTTTTACTTTCATGTAAATCTCAAAATGATATTCTTTAAAAATCTATCTTATTAATATTAAAATCATTTAAAAAGAATTTTAGTGACTTTTACTCTGCATGCAACCAGGTAATATACTGTACTAAACTCCGACTGAAGTCAGTTCAAGCTTTTTTAGTGAAGTTTATTACAGAATTTATATTTAGCTTCTTAGACATGAATGTAACAGTATATATACTAGGTATATATTAACCAGACATGGCCCACAACAGTTCTGTTTCAGAAGTAGGCATGGTGCCAGTGGCAGTAAGTATATGGGTACACGGCTATATAACTGTACTAGAAGCACTAACAGGTGTGGCAATAGTGGCACTAACCTACAGGTGTTGGTATTAAGGCACTAACATTCAGGTGGGAAAGAAACAATCTGTTAATTAAAACCAAGTTGGTGTTAATAAGGACTCTTTTAACAAAATCCTTTTTCTCTCATGTAAAATTTCTGTCAAATGTTAAATTATCTATTAACATTTTTTTTTCAAAGAACCCTTACTGATATTCTTTATGACAATTTCCTTATAAAACTATCTTTTCTCTGGTAAAATTAGGTCAAGGTCATCTATAACCTTTAATGCAAATGTGTTACTAATTTGTAACTTTGACTATAATGGAAATGCTGAAAGCATTTAAATTTAAATGTATACACTGATTGTACCTTTTTTTACTTTGTACTAGTGCACTTTTTAAAAACAATATATTATTATGATGACCAGGATATGACAACCTTAAGGAAATCTATTTGGACAATATTGAACAAACAAGTCTTACAGTTGAATGTAAGGTTGCACCAAAACCTGCTTTTGATTCATCAGCTATGCTACAAAATAAATATTTGGTATGAGGGAATGACAGATTATCTCCCCTTGGCCATTCCACTGCACATATTCACCTCAGCATTAATACTTGGTCCTTCGGATCCTTCAACTCAAAGTGCATTGAATTTAAACTTAGTATGATGCTTCCCTTTTTCTGTTGCACATTTTATGATTTGCCGACGAAATAGGTTCCAAACATATTCCCCCTACCTTGTGTAACTGCTAGACAAGCTTTATAATCTGCACACGGATCCTTGGGACTGGAATTTCAATAAAGTTACTGAAGGTTGTGAATGAGATCTTTCATTCAGATGTGGCAATGAAAGATTATGTACACGCCCCAAAATATGCATCCTAAACATTGAATTCTATAGACAGGAATCAACCATAACATTTATAGTTTCATTCAATTCACCACATGAGTAACAGTTGACACCTTTTATCAGATTAATATTAACTAACTTGATATGCCTGCTCCCCGCATATCTGCAAAGTTTGAAGCCCATTCATGAACACTGACTAAGATATGCTGGGGAAACCTGTATTACACTGTGCTTTAGGACTTGTGGTCAAAGTCAAAGGTCAAATTGAGATCACAGTGACCTTATTTTAGGATGCGGCATACCACCTTCACTTGATGTATTTATACACAACATTTGAGGCCAATTCATGAAACAGCAGCAGAGATGTGCTCTAGAAAGCGTTATTTTAGTACTTTGGGTCAAGGTCAAGTTGAGGTCACAGTGACCTATTTCAGAATACAACTCACCGCCTTCCTATGATGTCCTATATGCAAAGTTTGACACAAATTTATGAAACAGCAGTAGAGATTTGCCGCAGAAACGATTATTTTAGCACATTTAGGTCAAGGTCAAATTGAGGTCACAGCAACCTGGTTTTTAGGAAGTGACACATCACTTTCCTATGATGTACATGTCCCTAAATGACCTTAGCTGTTAATAAGACGGTAAACAAAATAAATTCAAACCAAACCTGTGATTTATCTTTGTACAAAGTTTGATGCCCATTCATGAAACAGAGACTGAGATATGCCCCTGAGACCATTATTTTAGTAATTTAGGTCAACGTCAACTGTCAAATTGAGGTCACAGTGATCTGGTTTTAGAATGTGACACCGCCTTTCCTTGATGTACCTACATGTATGTACAAAGTCTGATGCCAATTCGTGAAAGAGTGGCTTAGCGTCCGGAAACCAGTCGGCACGGACGGACACACTGATGCACACAAACACCAAATGCTATATACCCCCAACTTCATTGGAGAGGGAGTATCAAAAACATATATCAGAAAATCTGTTATTACAAGTGTGTTGATACAAGTTATATTTGACCTTTTACATTAACTTTATATTTTATCATCCCTCTTATAATGTATGTGTGACACTTTTGAGAAATGAAAAATTTCATATTTTTTTTACATTTTGCACAGTGATAGTCTTTATAATTAATTAACCCTATATTTTGATAACACAAAATAACCTAAAATGATCACAAAAAAGGTAGTTTGTGGCTTCCTTTAAAATTATCATGTTTGAACATCAAATTGACATTTTTTTGAAAATACACAAGCTACAGTTACAAAATGTATTACATTTGATAAAAATAAATTCACATTTCTGAACTTCTAATTGTCACTTGGAGAAATAACTCTCATTTCAATCAGACTCCATAGGTCTGTGTGCTCATGTCTACAGACCTATTTTGTGAATTTTTAAGTCCATCATTCTGTGTTTTTACTTAAACATAAATAAAATTCATTTCTGTATTATCTTTAAATTGTAAATGCATAGAACACAGATTTGAAATGATAAAACATGTACTGAGGGTATTTTACTGTTGAGCTTTTTTAATTTAGCTACCACTAATCTCGCTGGCTCAATTATAATCAAGCCACAGACTGACATTTAAATTATTCTACCCCGAAGACACATTTGAACCCTCCGAGTTCAAAGGTTGGAATGGTTCATTATGAAATTTCAGGGGTGAATGAGTTAATTTGTAAGTGACTTATTCACAATATATACTCTGTATACAGTATGTAGTATTTCAATTATTGAGAGGGTTACCCAGGAAGATCCTGAAAGATTTCACCCTGACCACTAACGCTCCTCCTCTAAGGTGAGGAGCTGTGACATTGTGACTAGGTATTTACTCACTCTGTGTTTGGTTGTGTTACAGTGAGCTGGTGATAGGTCACACAGGATTCCAGGAGCAACAAGACTCCATCAACACCATCTTGACCGCCACGCAGCCCAGACCGATGACCACTTAGTACTGGAAAAAGTCATGTGATTCGCCTCATCCACATTGACCACCAACCACTACAAGCACCTGTGTTAGACGGGCAACACACATCCTGCTGTTTTCATTAGATCAGGTTCTTCAGGTTGACCAAGGTCACCATTCCATGGCCTTGACCCACATTATATGGCCTTGACCACATTATATGGCCTTGACCCACATTATATGGCCTTGATTCTGATGAAAGCATTAAATTACAATGCAAAGATATAGAACTATCAGTTGTTCTTGTAATTTCATCAGGTGAAAGAGGAATATGTCTACAGCAAATGACTCATCTGTGTGACCTTGTTATGACCTTTATCATGTGTAACCTTGACCTTTATAAAACATTTAGTGTTTGACAGAGTAGAGTCATATACAAGGAGATGTATGAACACTAGACTGCGAAACATTGTGTCAAGGACAGATAACTCCCTTGGTTGTGCCACAAGGGAGATAACCAGTGTTGTTGAAAAAACTGTTGTGCGTATAGTGCAAAGACAACTTTGGAAGAAAATATTTTTTTGTATTGATAAAATGCACTTAAATATTTGAATAGAATCAAGTGTTTCTTACAGCCAAACAGAAAATGTCCGTTTTGATTATTATGATTTCAACTGTAAACAACCGTGTGTTTATGTAGCTGTAAGTTATTTTGAAGTATGATCAAGTGATGTTACAAATGTATTTATAAATAGCCATACTTAATCCTGCTTGTGTAATGTTCATGTTTCTGGTCTCATAATCTTCTCCAGTCAGCAATGAAACTGAAAGAGTTTCATTGATTGAGCGAAGGTATTGGGTTTCAGGGTCCAACATTTTCTATAGGGAGTTTTTTTTAATTACACTAAATGCTTTCTCAGCTCCATTTTATACATTACATTTTAGTTGTAAACTGTTACTGTATTGCAGGTTGTTTTTGCACGATTTTACAGCATTAATTTGAAAATATTCCATGTTTTGAAAAGTAATGAAAATTTTTCACTTGTATATATATATATATATATATCTTAGATTAAACATTTGCAATCATGTCTGTGATAACGAAATCATGAAAAATGTTAGAATAATCATCGTCAGTGAAACTTAATAGCACATATCTCTGTAAACTCATGAGAATATATCTCCCGTTACAATGCCAGATCACTTGAAGTAACATGTAAATATATAATCTCTAGTGTGAACTATGTTACTTAAGATTAATTTGTTTCTTCAAATATTTCTTTATTTGGGGGAGGGGGGCTCTAGCAGGTCCCAGCAGATTTGATGTAGCAGTAAGTTCAATAGTATCCATGGTAACAGGTGCATTTCGGGTCCTGTCACCATGCATTACAATTTCATTTACCATACTTCAGAAATTTAATTTGTTAAAATCTCAAGATACCTACTGTATACCAGGAAATGTTGGCCTTGTTTTATTGATACCCCACACTGATGTCCTAGTTTAGATTTATAACATCACAGCTACTGAGTATTGTTACTGTACATTTGTATATGATGTATAAGCTTAAGGTGTGTAGTGATATTCGCCATCATGATAAATTCACCATCTTTGCCGAGAAAGAGAATTTTGAAATTTCAACTGTGTCAAACATTTTCTTATATACAGTTCTTATTACATAAAAATGAGACAGCAATATATGCGATCTTTAGCAATTTCTTAAGCAATTCTTAATTTACATAACACTAATAGTTCTTTCTTATAGTGTATTTTACTTCAGTTCTTACTAAGTGCAATTTCTTTCCATTTTAGTTGTACTTAGTGCAATTTCTTACCATTTTAGTTGATTTTCTCTTTGTGCAATAGGGTAATAGAACAAGATTGTAGGATGATCACACCACACCCAACATAGGACCGAAGTTATTGCTCAATCTATAATCCGATCAACCTCAGACACATTTAAATATACCTGTATTTGTGATAAACAGGTGTTTTTATGATTAATTATTTAGCCAGGTAGTACTGCAAGATTCCATCCATCAAAATGAAAGAATTGAAAAAAAAAAGATACTGCCCATTCTTTATCTATAGAAGCGTTTTAATGTATGACTTCCTCAGTTTGATTTGTCCAAGCTATTTCAAATAGAAAGTCTTTATGTGTGTGATTATCTTTGTATTATAGGTCAAATGGTGGTGCATTACTTGTATCTTGTTTGGTTTTTTCTTTTTACTGATTTCCTCAAAATTTTATGATTTTAGACTGTACATATTTTCGCCTCATTCCTATCTCTTATAGTTTGATGATTGAACGTCAGATTTTTTTCCTTTTCAATATTAGGTAGTGTTTTCCAGCAATATGATGAAGGCCTCTTTCAGTATTACACGTTACAGTATTGCTTCAACGATTACACCGTCAGAAGGACATCTCAGTATCAGTATTGTGTGTACGTAGCAGCCGACCTCTCACGCTGCCGGCCGTGGTAGTGCTAACCAAAGTGTGTCTTTAGCATTACAATAAACGCTTCTGTCATTGTTGGTTATTTACAAAATCATTGCTGCCCAAATCGTTCATGTATCTTTTAACTCATTCACCCCTGATGACACATTTGAATTCTTCCAATTCAAAGGACGGAATAGTCCATTATGAAATTTCAGGGGTAAATGAGCTAAACATTTGTATTTTTTCATTTTTAAAATAGAAATTGATTTCTTTTCTGGTGAGAGAGCCATCTTGAATTTATATAACTCACAGATTGTCATATTTAAAAAAAAAAAAAAAAAAATTCATTGAAGGGTAAAAAAATTACTTGCTCATAAAACTTACTGATTGATAATTACATGTTAAAAGTTAATTACCCTATGTCTGGTGGTTAACTGGTATATTGCAATAAGGAGTATAAGTCATTCACCCCTGAACTCTTCCAGTTCAAAGGTTGGAATAGTTTATCATGGAATTTCAGGAGTGATTGATTTTAACTTGTGTTAGTATGAATGTAACTGATTAAGGTTATTTTTCATAGCTTCTATCTATTGTTGAAGTAATGTGTTGGAACTTTAATTTACCATAAAACACTTTTATAACCCACCCTGGAATTCTAAGTAAAATATTTGTATTTCTACCTTCCTTCAAAAACCTCAGGATAAAATTTTAGAAGTTTAGAAATCTGCAAGCCTCCTCCTGCTAAACCAAAAATATCTTAGGTTACCCTTAGGTTAGATGTCTGTCATACTTCCTGTCAGGGGACACAACTCTGACTTTGTAAACAATAAGAATTCATAATGATATTTTTTTGTGTAAATATGTTTGCAAAGTCACTAAATCAGGCATTTCCTCATGTACATGGCTAATTAAATACATGTACCACTAAACATTAACCGTTTCATGAAACTATTTTAAGATACTAATTCATTTCACTACAGTGATACAGATAATTTGTGTGATCTTGAAAACAACACTTGGACCATCACTAAATAAGGTATTTCCTCATGTAAATACCACTTATACCAAAGAATGATCATGATAAATTCTTCTGTCCAAATGGAACTCATCTGTTGTAATCGAAGGATCAAATTGACGAAAATTGATGAATATTTTAGCACCATTTTAATGCTATGGTAACATAAACGATGTATCATTATTCCGTCCACAACATTGTTTTGTTGGCCATTGTCATAATGTTGTTTGTTCCAACAACACTATCCTCATTTTTACAGGTTTGATGTTTGGAAAAATGATGTTATTGTCCTTTTATTTTATTTATTTATATCAAATACAATTTAATAATCTTAAACATGTGTGGTCGTAGCTCACCAACGATGTGTTTTAGAGAATTCAGACATCAGAGTTCTATATATTCTTCATATATGTATCGGTCTACTCTACAATGCAGACATTGCTTTTTCTGACTGAACTTTTCCTGTTTCTGTTACTTTCCTTACTTTTGCAATATTTGTATTTATTTCATTGTCACATATGCACAATAGTGATTTCTATTGTGATCTTATAAGTATGAATGAAATGAAATTGATCATATTTATGAGTAAATTTTTTGCCATATGTCCATTTCATCAGCATTCTGTATACAAGGTTTACAGTAAATTTAATGCGTTCATGTAAGCTAAATATTTTTTACTTTTATCTTAAATAATTATTACTGAAACATTAGTAACTTCAGCAAAATGTTTATGTTTAACAATAGCATGCGCTGTTAAACAAAACACAAATTAAAATCTATATTTATAAACGATATACTTATTTGTGTTTTAATGTTTTTCCATCAAATTACAAAGAAGAGTGTTTTTTGTATTAGCTCATTCACCCCTGAAGACACATTTGAACCCTAATTCCAATTCAAAGGTTGGAATAGTAAATTATGAAATTTTAGGGGTGAATGAATTAAAGGAGAAAACGTTTGTACTGTCTGTATCTGACATCCTGATATGGGCGGTGTAAATAATAGGCATTAACTGAACACAGAGGTTAACTATAGATATTACGATACTGACATATCATGTTATCAATTTCACTGGGGTTTGTTCATCAAAACTCCCATTTCAGATGACATGAAACTGATTAATTAATAATGAAAATATTTGTGTCAACATTCAAAATTGTATAAATGTGGTGAATAACATTTCGCAAAATAAATTATGTATACAAAATTGTTTGGTTCAGAATGCAAAACAAAACCCTTTATTTATTTTGAGACACAGAACAAATCATGGTTTAAAATTCACATTTTAATGTCACTGTGGTTAAACATGCGTCGGTAAATAAATGCAATAGGGTCAGTAGGGTATTGTACTAGTCTGTTTGTAATGAATTCATCAGGCACAGATAATGAACAAATCTTATGTCCCTCTATCCAAATGTTACGGAAACAAAAATAATACGAAAAGGTTTGATTTAGTCTTGTTTAAAAGCATACCAGGTTATAGTAGTATCCATAGCAACAATACTTCTCCTCAGAAATGCAGCACATAAAGGCAGGATTATCGTACAAAACAAAATGCTTCCACTTTACAAAAGACATAATCATCACATTTTAACGTTTCAAAATAGTTCTCAGTTTACTAGCAGTAACAATACTTCCTCTCAGCACTAAAAAAGGCAGGAGTACTGTACGAAAACAATACCTCAATTTTATGAAAGAAATGATTTAAATATCACCTTTCACCATTTCATAAAAATAGTCTTTCTGCAAGAATGAATCTTGTTTCATTTAAGAAAGATGATCGTTAAAGAAACCTCATTATACAAACACGAATATGCACCCATCATTATCTCAAGTCTCCTATGGTTTGTCAGAACACACAGTTTGTTTTGAGATTAAGTTCCTCGCTGACGAAACTTCGATGATGATGATGGCTGTATCTTCACTATATAGCTGGGTAGATTGCACACAACCAATACATTTAAGGATCCCCGTACCACTGCTAAAAATGAAACTATACATTTCAAACTTATTTTTTTTCATCATGTCTATAGCTTTGAGAAATCATTTTTGTAAAGAAAAGTAAACCTTGCAGGACTTTTATAAAAGCACAATGGAGATGAAACAAACAAAATATGATCAACAACAACATATTCTGCGATTCAGGATTCGAACCCTGTACTTCAGATTGTTATACCTTAGCTGAAACCGATTTAGTTACCTGGGCAACGGAGGTGTACAAGCCCAAATGTGCTCCAGTAATATTCAAAAGGAAGGTAAGGGGAGGTTACTGTATATAGGAAAAACAGCAGTGCAGTGGGACAGGGATCCTTGATGTTATTACGCTACATCATCTCGTCTCCCTCCTCCACGTGTTTCAAGTTCAGCACTTCAAATTGTCCCTTTCCTTTTGTTGCCGACACCACGATATCATGGATCTCTCTGTAACAGCCTGGGTCCACCAATATCACCTGTCAATCAAACAGTTTCATACACGTCAACTCGCCCACACAATCAGAAACCAGTGAACAGTGCATCCTCTAATGAATCTCTGGTGCATCATCACAAAATATGTCCTTCAGCTACATGTTATTAGCTTGCCTCAACACAGTTATAATTCTTGTTACAATAGCAGGTTTGACCGCTCATAAACATGTATTAAGCAAATACGGATGGAATTTATTTAAGCAATGAATGTTTAAGCAAATGTTGTTATGGTCCTATAACACACATTATTATTGATGACAAACTTAATAAAGCCTGGCAGGGCTTAATGTAAGTTTGTCAGCAATAGAAATGTGTGTTGTAGAACCATAACAATATTTGCTATAATATTCATCATTTATATTTACATTTTGATACAGTAGTTACAGTTTATTTAGTTATTTTGAACAGTTCTTTGAACAGCAAATTAAGTGTTGACAACAATGAAATTGATGACGTCACAATAGAGATTGATGACGCTACATTAGCAAATGTTGTTATTGTCTCATAACAACATTAGCCTTCTCAATGCATTGCAATGGAAGGATGCAGAGCAAATGTAAATATTGAAATATGCTGTAGTGAATTACCATTTCCAAATCATCACTAAAATCATCTTGTTCAACAGTTGTGGCAAGTTTCTTCACTTTTTCTCGAACCTTCTTTCCATCTTTTCCTTGAAAATAATCACAAAATGAGGAATATCAAGCAAATACAAAACACTTCTAATAGAGCACATGTACTAAATAAAAAAACAGAGTTACATCATGGTATAGAAATATTAAGAATCATAATAATAAGCCCTTGCAATCAAAATTGAAAATAATAGAAAATATCCCTGTTTGATTTTTTTTTAACATTATAGATAGCAAACATCAAAGCATTGTATGAAAAAGGATTCTTCAGTATATAATGTTTTATTTGACATACCAGGGACGGTGATCTTTAACTGCATGTGGGCTCTCTGTATGTTGATTGAGTCGGTTTCTGTAAGCTGTTTTATCACTTCCAAGGCCTAGAAAAATCAAGCATTTAAAAAAGCATTTTAACAAGAGTATAACCACAGGGTGGAACAATATACGCCCGTCCCATGCAAAACTGAGATACTAAAAATCCTTCTGATGCATAATTGTATCTAAATGTTTGAAAAAAATGAACTTCATTTGAAATAAATGACTCCGTAAAGTTAAGAACTGTTCCTGTGCATGTGATGTGGTGAAAGGAAGCACCATACTCTACCTGAATATCTTGATCCTTGCAATTATTACTCCAGGGGTTATGCTCACTCATGCTCTCTGCACCCCTGGAATGTGTCATAGCAAAATTGGAGGCTCAATGTGCACCACCTTGTGGATGAGACGAGAACACTAGTTTGATCCTTTGATGAACATGAAAAGAATCTGTAGGTCATATAAAGGTAAAATTGACTGGCTTTGAAGGCAGGTGTTACTCATAGGACAATTATCAGCCTTAGTGATTGGTTAGATTTTTTTAACCTAAGACCAATCAAATAGCTACTAGCCGCATGCCTTCAATTTTGCTGTGACATAGTGCAGGGGTGCAGAGAACGTATATGTACATGTAAGTGAGCGTCTTCCCTGGAGTATCGAGTATGGAATAACTTAAGCTGGCCCTTAATAAATTCTATTAACCAATGAACATGACAAATAAGAACAAGACTAATCTAACCTGCTGTTTTGTACTCCTTGTCGGTTTCACAGAGAAATGTATATCCTTCATGGCTGTTTCAATGAGTGTTACTGGGTACGGTCGATTTGTGTCGGGGTTTACGCACTTATCAGATACTATGGTAGCAATGTCTTTGAACATAGATTCTAGCTGTGCATGTCGTTCCTTCTCCGACACTTGGAGCTCTCCTTTGGCTATTATCTGGAAACAGAACGTAACTAGATTCATTCTTGACTTTGGCTATTGAAAGGAATAGCTCTCCTTTGGCTATTATCTGGAAACAAACCATAACTAAATTTATTCTTGATTTTGGCTATTCAAAGGAATAGCTCTCCTTTGGCTATTATCTAAAAACAAACCATAACTAGATTCATTCTTAACCTTGGAGCAAAACACAAATAGATAACTCTAACAAGTTTAATATCATTCTTAATCAAGGACCTTACGGTAACTTGAAATATATCAAAGGTTCCCTTATCAATGGTAAATGAAAACACATAATAATTAATTAATTATACAGTTCGAGGTTCTTATATACCGCTTTAGCATAACCTAGTTCGTAGGTTGTCTCAAAGCGGTTCACAAATTATTATCAGTGGTTATAGGGCTTTTGCAACCGGTCAATATCTTTCTCAACTCCCTGGGGAGCATACAGCCGGTGTTGCCATTTCAGCACTCACAGCTACATGCAGCATTCAACAATTCTAGCAATGCCCAACCACTCATTTTCCGATGTAAATTACTGGAATTTCATTTTTTTTTCATCGGGGTATGAACAGATTTTTTTTTGCAAACTGTATGAATACACATAGCGGATTCTTATAAACTTTGCAAATACTATTCTTTTTATAACCGATGAAAATTAAAAAAATCAACTTCAATGCTTATAATCAATTTCAATTAAAAAAGTAGTTCTGCAGGGGCATGCTTTTTTCTTTCCTTCACAGAACAATGCAAGGAATTTGGTATGAAAACAAATAAAAATTGATTATTTTCCAAATAAATTGCATTTACAAATGAATCGATCTATAATGAAAATTAAGTTTAAATTAAAATTGAAAATTAAATCGATTGTTTATTTAATTCTACAGGATATATACATCATCTGTTCAATGATCATGATTTGACACTAAAATTTTGCCTGTAAGCAGATTCTATAGGACATATAATATATGCTTCAATGAACAAGATTTGACTCTAAAATTTCACCTGTAAGCAGATCTCCGTCTGATTGTCTGTCCCAAAGATCTTTTTCAACTCTGCAGTTTTTGCCATTTCTCCCTTGGAAACATTTGAGAAAACAGCATGAGTTTGCAGCACTTCATCTATATCTGTTTCTCTGTAATAATAAAACACAGTTTTCTTGTAAAGATTTAGTGTGTCAGTAATTATTCACAACTTTATAAACTCCACATATCATTTCAGTACACAGCACATAAGTCTAAAGATGTTTTGCGGCAGAGACATTTAACTCATTCATATTTGTATAGGTAGCGACATACATACATATGCTTCAGAAACTTGTAACAAACACATTTGTGAGTTATCTCCCATTGAATGATTGACATGGTTTTCACTTATAAGTGATTCTTTGATATCCATTTGTCTCATCAAATGTTGTAGGCAATATGTCATAGGTACAAGAACACACATGTAGCTATTTTAACATATAACCACATACATCATAACTCTTTTCTTCGAAATGTACGAGCTATATATATAGTGTTTAAGATATTGTGAGCTTCATCAGTGTTTGAAGCCCAAAATATATGTACATTTCAAATGCAAAAAATAAAATTGTTACTCAAATGGGTAACTGTTACCAAAATGCAGGATTATTACCCATATGCGCCGTTGTGCCCAACCTGATCAACCCATGGGAACTCAAGTTATTGGACGGAAACCTTGTATCGGACAATGCAACTGACGCCACGCCGACAAAGTAATACCTATATGTCGCTTTGTGGTGCAGGCGACACAAAAAACAGATTTGGACCCATCCCATACAAAAACCAAGAGAAAATATATACATGTATAAGGAGCATCATCATTTTGATTTATCAACAACTACGCAAATAAACTTTTCTCAATAGAATCTGTTCAGTTTGCAATGATGATATCAAACTGACACTTTGTTTCTCCATGACACAACTTTGTTTGGGTAGCATGCTATCTCAAATCTCTTCCCTCCCTTCTTCAGTCTCACAACAGCGACATTGGTCAACCGCTTCTGGCCCGTTGGTTGTTTCAGCGTCGCCATTTCGCTGAAAACCACACCAAGTATATAACACTGGTACTAAATGTTTAACGCTACACCAATATATTTGATACTTTTGTCGCTGACACACGAAAAACACGAAATTTAAAAATGTTACAGTACAGCCACTGTTGATGAAGCAATACCGGAAGTTAGTTACACTATGACGAAGTTTCGTGGTTTCCGCTTTAGAAGAGCTCTGACAGCCAGTGCGCAGAGATGAGGATGTTTTGATATTTGTCAGCGATTTGTTGAAGATGCTGTGGACAGTGATTTTTTTATTGAGCTTTTGCCGACGCAATGGGTCTAAAGATCTCGGCTAGGATAAAATGGCAGACGCAAAACCACCGGTATCTATCCATGAGTTGATACAGGTAAGAAAAATGACACTTGTTGAATGTAAACAGTAAGACACGGGGGTAAAACACATGTTGATGCTTTCTGAAACAAGTGCACCATGCTATAAGGTCATGTCACATTGACAGCATTTTATTTCGACAATTTTCATTTATAAAAGAAGCTATGTAAAGTATCCTACATATATGCATGTCAGTTCAAATTTTTGAATATTTCATTTGACTTTGAGCTTTACATGACAATCAGCTAATTTGAATTCAGGTCCATGAATTTTAAGTACACTCTAGTCGATTTAGCTATATACATGTGTTTTTATACGTAGTTGTTAAGAACTATAATAGTTGTATCGAACTATCCGAAATAGGTCTTTTTAATTGGGCTATAGTAGCATTTTAAATAAATTAAAAGATGTTTTAATATTATTACTTTTTTTTTTATAAATATCAATGAAATATATAACATTTCGCACTGTTCACACTGTTCTTCCATTCGTTGTAAGTCTTCGACTTGCATTGTGAGACTGTCCTATATCTTGTTGTCGTCGATACTTTATGGTATGCACAAATTTGTTGGTGACAAGTTTTTTTAGTGTGTTGATTTAAAAATCAAAGTTCTGTTCAATTCAAATTCCTGATATATAGTTGCAGACGTGTTGAGGTTAGCGAATCAATTTCACTAACCTGCTACCAGCAACCAGCAACATTAACTGCGGATTAGCATGTGACCTTAAAATTCATTTTCTCCAAGGTATGATAACAAATGTTGCTATTGAAAACTGTAACATATTTATCCACAATCATTGCAAAAAAACATAGAATAAATGCATTCTTTTTAAAAACCGGAAATTTTACTTTTATGAAAAATGAAAATATATTTCGTACACTTAAAACCTGAAACAATCTTCTGGAGCACGTTGTATCCGCTCCAAATATCAACACACTTTTCAGAACAGAACAGATAAACTTTGTCAGAATGAAAAACTCAATTATAACTATAGGGCAAATGTAATTAACAATGAACTTCAAATTTAATTTATATTATACAATTATTTAATTTTCGAGTCCAGTGTAGAGGAGCTCTATCGGCTCCTGTATTAGAAACTAACTTTATCTTTAACTTTATACCTCTAACTGTATGCTTTCTGGAGTACAGACATGCATATATTTTTTTTCACATATGAGACACATTTTGTGTCAGAAATTTTCCTAAGCTACTTTGAAAAAGAATTCTTGGTCAGATATTTTGTACTGTTTTCATCATTACTGGTAGTATATATATATATAACTAGTTGTTAACTGTAATTATTTTTTTTGTCTTTCTCAGAAGTTCTGTAGTCAGCAATAAAAAAAACGCTCACAAAGTTGTACCATTTAATGTTGATAAATATAATATAAAGCCCCATGGAAAGCATGTCAGAAAACCAACCAGCAGATGTAAAATATATATATATAGGATCTTACAAGAGTTTCCATTTCATATGAGATTTATGAAACGAGTCTGGCGAGCTAAAATGAAAATTTGTGATGGGTTTCATAAATATCATATGAAATGAAAACGAGCGTAAAATGCTTTTAATCACATACCGTAATCAAGAGTTGTGGCATTTATTCGTGTAAAACGACAATCTTCATGCAACCCTTGAAATGTAAAAAGCCGCCATTTTGACTCTAGTGCGGAAGTCTATGATGTCCTTTACTTGTCCTAGGCGTGACATCACAATTGAAACAATTGAAACTTTCAACCAATCACAGGGCTGAAAGGTCCTATTACATGGGTTAATACGCCAAAAAATATGACACGGGTATATTCACTGGATAACACAGTACATTATGTGATAAATACATACAACTGTAGCTATGTTCTGTTGACGCTATGTGTTGTACCCCAGCCTTGAGCAAGATACAAATGTAATTGACCGTTATTGCTGACCTGAAATGTCGTACAAATGTCGTTTTCCCTGTAATATTATTACTGTTGACATTGTATGCATATTTTTACTGATGATCATATATATACATATGTATTTTTCCTTCATCAGATTTTATTTGTGTTTTTCCCATGACAACTTTGTGAGAAAAGTAAAACGATGTACATGCATATGACTTGTGAAATGTTATTGAATTTTCATTGATTTATCACTTAAAAGCAAGCCCACAAGACAATTGAATTGGAATACAATAGACAGTTTGTGCAATATACCTACATAAATATACATAGATATACATATTGACTAGTCTGATATTGATCTTCCATGGGTAGGCCCATTAACTTGATTAGCTGAAGATTATTTTTACATGTCTGCATGATAATGAGATGATCCTCTCCATCATTGACAAAATCTCCCTTTTATTGCTTCAGCTGGCCCATATAGGTATCCCTGGTGACCAGGTGACATGGTCCAGGGTAACCATGACATCTGACCGGTGGATAGCCATACGGCATAGCAACAGGGATGACAAAGAATCTATGGTAAGTTTATTACATTATAACGCATGCACAGTGACTTACATTTTTTATGCCCCCACCATAAAATGTGGGGGGGCATATAGTGTTGCCCATGTCCGTCCCGTCCTGTCCGATTCAATGTAAACACCCGTCCTGTCGCGTCCCGTCCCAATTCAATGTAAACACTTAGCGACTTCATTCTTTGACAGATTTTGGTCAAACTTTATACAAAGGTACAACCCTCCATAAAATGGGGTGGATGGCATATATTGTTGCGCATGTCCGTCCCGTCCCGATTAAATGTAAACACTTAGCAACTTCATTCTTTCATAGATTTTGTTCAAACTTTATGCAAAGGTCAAGTATGAGTATACTTCGGACATCGTTGTGTTTCAGGGTTCCAAGGTCAAGGCCAAGGTTACTGTTGCTATAAATAGAAAATCATCAACTGATTCAATTTAAACACTTAGCGACTTCATTCAATATGTTATGGACATGGTAATAACATACAGAAAAAACATATGAATATTAAAATCAACTTTAAGTGTAGTGTGTGCATGTTTCAGGGTATCAAGGTCAAAGTGGTTGTAATTTTTTTATAGAACACTGAAACTGATTTCACATGGCAGTGGGGGCATTTATGTCTTACCAGACATTTTCTAGTTTTTATGTATACCCCAGTATGTATAATTACAATGAAATACAAGTTACAGCCAAAGTACGAATCTGTCTGTCAAATGAGGTGTAAGAGGAAAGAGAAAAGTGTGCTTCCATTGGGGATGGGACCGCAGACTCCCAGCTTCAAAGTTTGTTGCTCAACCGAATGAGCCAAAGAAAGATTCCCTCAGAGCTAAACCTTTGTACATTAAAACCTGCCACAGATGTCACGCATTGAACGATCACACACTTAAGTAGGTAAACATTTCAAAAGATAATTTTTTGCAAGACAAAACTCATGTTTTATAGAGTAAAACAAAGAATTAGTACCGACTAGCTGTTTTGGAAATAGGATCATCGTATTTCAGGATTAAGGCTGAAAAGAAATATTTTCACAAGTTTATAGCTAGTATGCATTTTGCATATATACATGAACATTGTTCTTGCATTGTAGATGTTATAATGCTAGTATACACCGCAGATTTTCCTATGACGTACATCATAAATGTATTGTAAGCTACTATCAAGTTCTTTTGATGAAAGGAAGGAACATAAACATAGCACCACTCTCCTAGGAACCGGGCATGCTCTTAAACATGGACTGGTCCACTTCAAATTTATACTCTATTATTTAATCTACATTTTAAAATTTTAAAAGAAAATGAGATCCATGTTACAATTATTATCACTTCCAGTGATCAATCTACAATTTCTTTTCATGGGTCCTTTTCAACTCTATTGCTAATAACGATGGGTCCCAGAATGTAAACTGTTTTTATTTCAAGAATTTCCAGAAATTCTCTGAGTCCCATCAATATTCTATGAATATAAGACTTGGAACTTGTATGTAGTTTGGTCACAGACTTCATGAATGAAAAAAAGTTTAATACTAGTGTTAATTATGTTAAGCATGCACATCGATAATTTATCCAGAAATATTTAATTCAGCTTCTCTTGACAGTCCATGTTTTAGAGTAGGCCAGCTCTTCTTTCCCTGCAGCACATCATATTCTATGCCAGTTCTCCATTTATAGCCGAGTGTATATATATATAGCTAATTTGGTTTATGGTGCATGTATTAATATCTTTTTGAAGTTTAATCTGTCTATAAGTGATGCTGAGCTACAGGTTTGTAGATTTGCCCTTTGATGTTCTCTAAACCAATCTGTTACAATAATAGTTTCACAGGTACACAGTGTACCAGCGGTATATAATACTAGACATATCGACTTGGCCACCGTTCATATCCACAGCTGTAAGCTAAGAAAACGCGTTATTTCAAGAAATGCTACTGTTGAAGAATGATTAAAAGTTTTAGCACACTTGGATGCTTAAAGAGCTATGTATATATAATTATCAGTAATTAGGGCTGTAACGATACACCTATGCCACAATACGATACGTATCATGATATCTACCCACAATACGATAGGTATCATGATATCTACCCACAATACGATACGTTTCATGATATCTACCCACAATATGATACGTATCATGATATCTACCCACAATACGATAGGTATCATGATATCTACCCACAATACGATACGTATCATGATATCTACCCACAATACGATACGTATCATGATATCTACCCACAATACGATATGTATCATGATATCTACCCACAATACGATATGTATCATGATATCTACCCACAATACGATACGTTTCATGATATCTACCCACAATACTTTACGTTTTGATGCGATACAGGATGACGAAATGTTATGCTTCCTCTTCAAATGCGTCGCCATGTTTGATGTGTTCCCTGACTTGTAACTTACATCTACGAAACATATGCAGCAAGTGGAGAGTGAATTTCTATCAGGGACATTTAGCTGGAATCCAAAATGCTGCCAAACAGGCGAGCGAAAGGAAGCAAGAAGGTTTTTTAATTGAAGCTCTGCCATGTTGCATACTTATTGATGCAAAGTTTTGTAACAGCAACAACTATTGCACAGCTTTTATCATACGAGCCAATCAAATTTTATGTTACACATGTATGGTTAAATTCCGGAAGTCAGGTAATACAAAAAACCGAACTGAACCGAAACATGGAAAAAACATATCGTACACCGAACCGAAGCAATTTAGTGCGGTTTTTCGGTGTTTTTTTTTATGGTGAATATGTCCCTACGGTATAAATCATAAAAAAAGGAAAGAAATAAAAAAAAATCTACTTGAAAATGTAGCCTCTGATTCACGCCTAAAAACAATTTGCTACGCCACTGTGTATATATCTAATGCTTTATCCTAAAGAAGAAATAGGCAGGTGTGTTTACATTTCCAACTTGTTTGATTTGATAGTTAAATTTTACACACATATAAATATATTTAATATACCTCTACTTTATTTACTCTATATAAAAGTAATTGGTTAAATCGGATATATCCCCACTATTGCCTGACTGTTTTAGTCCTGTGTGTTAGTCTGGGAACAAAAACGCACCTTCTGAACTAAAACGCACCTACACTAGGGTGTTTCTGCTGAGCCAATCAGGCGAGAGGTGGGCGGAGCTTGCTACCGAACGGGCCTCCTACTATGCAGACGACACTTTCTCATGTTTCTTCAATTATGGCGCCGTCAAGTTGGGACGTGAAGCTACACAGCTTATGGTTTACAAATATTTTCTAGTTAAAACTATCTCTCCAGTGTGTATTGGTATAATAAAACGGTTAAAGTATAGGGTTGAGGCTAGGGATATAGCAAGTTTCTGGTGTCCCTTGACCATGCCTATTTCCCTCAGCTTCGCCTTGGGAAAAAGACCTGGTCTCCGGATACCAGAAACTTGCTAATTTATCTCTCAACCCCATATACTTTAACTGTGTAATATATACAGCAACATATAGGTTGAAGTGGTAATTAATGCATCCATAATGCTAAGCTGAATTGACTTGATTGGTCAATTTCCAAACTAGTTTCTACAGGATACCTTGATTAATATGTTCTTCGATTTTGATGAAATTTGGTACCGTAAGTTTGCACGTATAGTGCACACTTTTTTAGGTAAATATTGTCATGTCAAAAAGAGGGTGCACACTATACGCACCCACAAGTCATTCTTGGGTTATCGTTCTCCAGTTTCAGGTCCGCCATATTGGATTATCTCCCTTTAAATAGTTTTGTTTGGAGTCGTCGGTCATATCATACCTGTTTAATGACCGGTAATTATCCAATTAGCCTAGACTTCATGTTAGCTAATAACTGTCCGTCGCTTGTGTGAATATGTTTATATAGGTCATTAAAGGTGTTAGCGTCACGCTCATTGAAGTCTAATGATCGATTGATCAAAACATTAATCTGTTGTAATCAAAATAAATAAATCGTTGGTTAACTCTTTCCGTACCGCAAATCCGGTCTGGATTCGGTACTGGATGTCCTTACTAGACTCGCCCCCGCGCAAATAACAAAATGGTGGATTATCAATGTTCATTTTAGACGAGGTGTAATTGCTGCAAGAATTAAACAGGTAACCGTGAACAAATATTGTTATTGTTCCATGTTGTTGTTTATAGACACACACTTCTTCATTTTTGCAGCATGATGACTAACGGACAGCTAATTATGACCGAGAAATCGACATCTGTTCGGCAACAAATGATACGAAACCGTGTTTTCAAAACATCCTTGTAGTGGAGGTTCCTAATAGGGATTGTTTATTGTTTACGAATACAAAGTCGTTAGTTTATTTTCTAATTACTAGTAGATTTCATTAAAAGTTATATTAAAATATTCATATTTACTTCCATAAGTCTAAATAAATATTTTGTGATGAATTTATGAGGGTTCACATCGAATTAAGTTGCCGCCATATTGTTTATATTTGAATCACCAAACGCAAACATCTTGCGGCAAATTCGAAAACAATAGGTCACAAAATATAAATTGTGTACTCTGCACCTATAAAACTAATTCTTTCCAACTGATGGGTGCTGATTTTAGCGACAAATAATTGTATTACGCGATTGTCGTGTGCGATAACCAGCTAAACATAAGACAAGTTACACCAAAGTCTGTTGTCGTGTGTACACGACAACGGGGATGAGATGACCTATTATTTTGTCATCTGTACACGACAATGGGGATCAGGATGACATATAGTTGTCCTGTGTACACGACAACGGCACGGAAAGAGTTAATCAGCATTATAGAAACTGAGAATTAGTTAATTAATCAGCGTTATAAACACCAAGCTACCTTAAGCTTTGATTGCTACTTTTCCAGTTTAATACTGGTAATTTTCAGGATTCCCCCCCACCATTTTTTTTTTCCAATCTGACCCCAAAAACATACCTCGCACTATACCCGCAAATTTATGGTGTGCATGTAAATTATTCAAAAGTTGTGGCTAAATTTGGAG